GTTCTGTCATTTGATAAGCTAATTTCTGCATTCATGCTTGCAGAGAAGTTCTTTGCCTTTGACAGAGTGACTCATTCCTAATGAGGGACCTGGGGGCAGGTGACTCAGGGAGGAGGCAGGTGGCTGTCTGCTTGTCCATCTGGCCCCTTCCTGGTAATCACTACTCCAAATCAGATGCTTAATTAGCATTGACAGGAGCCTGTCTGCAGTAAAGGACACTGAACAACAGAAACTGAAGCCTGAGCCTGAGACCCAGCTCTGCCAGCAGTTCTGCTGACCTTTGACCTGCAGGGAATCTTCATCTCCCTAAATCCTGATTTCGTCAACTCTAAAATGGCAAGCATTGGCCTTGTCTCTGTCAAACACCATAATGACTTGTTGAATGCCTGTGGCAAAGTGAACTCAGGTCTGCTGGTCCTTAGTTATTACTCCTGCTTGTGATGCCACTTTGTCATCCTTAGAGACTCATGCCGATTGCCTGCTTGGTTGGTGGCGTGGAAATCATCAGACGCAGATTTAAACATCGATCAAGTACTTTCTCTCTGAGACTTTTGCAATCCGTCTTCACTCTGGAGTAGTCAGAGACAGGCTAGGTTCCTACATTTAAGGATGATGCCACCAAACTATTTGCTTACTCCAGGATATAGCTTTACTCTCCTTTGCAATTTGGATTTTTGTTTGTTTGTTTTTACCACTGTAGTTAGTAATTCACTTTCTTCGTTATAAGGAAATCTTTTTCCCGTGCCCTTTTCTTCACATTTGATTCAGTTTTGGAAACCAGTGTGTGACAAATTTTAACACGCACGAAATCACTGGGGAACCTTGTCAAATGCAGATTCTGGTTCAGTAGGTCTGGGAAGGAGCTTGAAATTCTTTATTTCCAACAAGCTCCAGCCGAGTGCCTCTGATCCCAGAACACATTCTGAGGAGAAGGTGATACTCTGCCATCCGTGGATGCTCAGGACTGGCTGACTTGCTGTGGAGACTTCTGTGAGCCCTGAACGGAGGGGAGGGGGGCATGGAGCTTGCACACAGCCCTCTGCAGGCTGCCCAGGAAAGCTGGCTCCAAGGCCCAGCTCTTTTCCCAGTGGGTTGCTCTTTGCCCAGTGGAACATAATAACAAATCATTCTGGGATTCAGGCAGGAAATACACAAAAAACGAGTGTCATTAAACTAGTGTCATAAGGGGTCAACTTTGGTAAATCAGTGACTGGGACAGCATTAGAATTCTCTTCTTGTGGACTTGCTTCATATGATTGGGATAAATATACAATGTTGAGGAGAGCAGACTCACAGCTGACTCATTATCCTGTCTCATTGCCTTTGCAGCCTGATACTGGGCATCAGTCCTCACTCGGGAGAAGGGCTGAGACACATTACTGACAATGTTGGCCTTTGTCTGAGGCTCTGGCCAAAACTTCAGGGATATAAGGTGATTAACTGAAAAGGGATTTGGAGATTATCTGCGGTTTCAATATCAAGGTCATGCCTGACACCACATAACTAAGAATTCATTCTACAAAATATCAAGGTGATTACAGGCCTATAACGTTAATTTTCTCTTTTCAACCACCACTCTTTCTCAGTCTTCTTAAAATATCTCCTGGGTAGAAGGTAATAACCAGAACAGGGACATAATTACCTCATAGGTTTAGGCTCCACATTTACTCTTTTTTAAAAAGCTGTGTTTAACTTACCTCTTAGTTCTTATAAAATGTTTTTGATTTAAGTCTCCAGGCCAGGAAACCACCACTTCCAAGGGAATAAAACTCTGCATATGGTCCTAAGGAATGTGTTTTAAATGCCCTGAATTGTAAGCAGAGAAAAGAAGGTCCTATTGTACCATTGCACTTTGAAGCAGAACCTTGATGAATCCAATATTTAGTGTATTGCAAAGCAAACAAACTCTCTGTCTCCCCAGTTCTCCCATGAGCACATGGATTGTCTTGTGTCTTGACCAATTGTCCAAGTTGTTTCTTGCTCCCTGAATTCTTGCCTCCTATTAGGCATACCAGTACTGGAATACTAACCTCTATATCTTACACCAATTTGACCCCCTCTCCCTTTTGTTCGCCTGCTCTGCTAGTCTGTGCCAGCTTGTCATTTTAATCTCTTTCCCAGGCAACTAAACTGGATATAGGTGGGCCAGTCAGGTAGCCAATAGGATTGGGTGGTAATAATTTTGTGTCAATCTCAGCCTATCAATAGTGAAGTTATCAGTTAGAAATGGCTGGGGGCACTCACAGACACCTCCCTTTTCAAAACCTGTGTTGTAACCCTTGTGGTTCTTATTATGATTGCAATACACCCTCAGCAATAGTCATCCGGAAACTTTGAAGAAACACTGTAAGAAACACTACTTACAGATCCTGGAGGGTGCACGCACACCTGGGGCCACAAAGAGAAGTTGTGGGGGTGGGGTTGGGGGGGGGAGGAGAAAGGGTTCTGCTTTTATCATGGTTGAGGATGGGGTAATAGAGTTTCATAGGTTTACTGTTTATTAGGGATATAAGACATAAGAATGGGAATTAAAGTTCGGAAAGGGAAATGCAAGTGGTCAAAAGGACAGTCATCTAAGTCAACTGGAGATCTCTGAAGCACAGGAAACTTCAGGGACACGAAGCCTGGTTCTTTATCTAGTTGTGTAGCTGGCAATGTGTTTGTTGGAAATAGCTGGCTTTGATGTTGATGCCTGTGCTCAATGTCAGACAGTTGCTTGATAATCAAGAACTCCTACTGCTAGGGCTCACACACAGACTGAGATGACAGTAGGACAGATTCAGGAACTCTGAGAAGAGACTCTATTTCCCCATGACGGTTCTTCCCAGGGTGTGAGCAATGGGGCAAATCCTGAACCAGTCTATGTTAGACTCTTAGGTATTGAGGTCACTCTTTCAAGATCTTTATGCACTTACTGTCTGTTCCAAAGTCTCTGTGTTTTAGCAAAAAACAACAACATTCTGCTCTGGGGCCTTTCTGTATTGCAGCATCTAAATAAAGCCTGGTTCCAAGCAGTTGTTTATTGTTTGCTGAACAAAGGGTAAAGAATGACAACTAGATAAATGAATTATAAGAAATGCTAGCCTTATTGCAAATGTTTTCTTTTAAATTTTATTTATTTATTTATTTATTGCTTATTTATTTTAAAATCTTTATCGTGGCGAGTAGTTTTCCTCCTCATTGGTCCCCTCAACCGAGTTCCCACCCTGCCCGATGCCTTCACCATTCTACTGTCTGTGTCCATATTTAAGATCTTTGGTTAATCTCTTCCTGCTGCCCCCACCCACCTTATTCCCTCTGAGATTCCTCAATCTTTTTCCTGTTTCCATGCCTCTGATTCTATATTGCTGACCAGTTTATTTTGTTCATTAGATTTCTTATTTGTTTATTTTTATTTTTAGATTCAATTGTTGATTTTTAGATTCAATGTATTTGTTGCCACTTATTGTTTATATTTCTTTTTGTTCTTCTTTTTCTTGTTCTTGTTCTTGCCCTTCTTTTTCCCTTCCTCCTCTTCCTCCTCCTCTTCCTCCTCCTCCTCCTCCTCCTCCTTCTTCTTCTCCTCCCTTTTCTTTTTCTTTTTTTAAAAATATATTTTATTGATTTTTCAGAGATGAAGAGAGAGGGATAGAAAGTTAGAAACATCGATGAGAGAGAATCATCGATCAGCTGCCTCTTGCATACCCCCCACTGGGGATATGCCCGCAACCAAGGTATATGCCCTTGCCCGGAATCGAACCCGGGACCTTTCAGTCCGCAGGCCGACGCTCTATCCACTGAGCCAAACCGGTCCCGGCTCCTCCCTTTTCTTAAACAATACACTTCAACATTTTATGTAACACTGGTTGGGTGTTGATGAACTCCTTTAGCTTTTTCTTGTCTGTGAAGCTTTTACCTGACCCTCAATTCTAAATGAGAGCTTTGCTGGGTAGAGTGATCTTGGTTGTAGCTCCTTGAATTCATCACTTTTGAATATTTCTTGCCATTCCCTTCTGGCCTGCAAAGTTTCTTTTGAGAAATCAGCTGACAGTCATATGTAGGTAATTCACTCCCTTGTAGGCAATTCACTTCTTTTCTTTTGCTGCTTTTAAGCTTTTAAGATTCTCTCTTTGACATTTTAATTATGATATGTCTTGGTGTGGACCTCTTTGGGTTCCTTTTGTTTAGGGCTCTCTGTGCCTCCTGGATTTGTAAGTCTATTTCTTTTACCAGATAGGGGAAGATAGTGTCTCCTTACACCAAGCATGTCAAATTCAAAGGCTAACACAGGCCAAATAAATAAGGTTTAAGTTTATGTGAGCAGCAAAAAACCAAAAGCTTCAATTTTCATAGAAATGTAGACACGCTGAATACAAAGTGCTGAAATAAATGAGTAATCGTTAAAATAATAGAACACTTTAATAAAAATTAATATTTTTTCTTGAACATTAACTTACCAGATATCAAATAACTGAACAGGTTAATAAGCATAATGCAAACAAACCAATTTTTCTTGTTCTCCAAAAGCAAAATATTTCTTGTGGCACACACCAAACAAGTCAGTCCAAGACTAATGACATGGCAATCGGCTGCTAAAATAATCACTGCTAATATTAATGGAGAGAAATGGTGCACCTGCATGTAAGGTGCATAAAGGAAATTAATGCAACAGAATTATAGTAATCAGTCATTAGAGAACATTGTAGTTTGTTATTAATAATTATGTATAATAGGATACTATAAAATTAAGTTATGCCATTTATATTAAAACATTTCTTACATACTGTTATATTGGCTGAGCCAAAAAAATATTTATCATGGGCCATGAGTTTGACAAGCTTGCCTTACACTGTTCATATTTTTGGATTCTTTTTGTTGTTGTTGTTCTGAATCGGTGATATTTACTTCCTCATATTCCAAATCATTGATTTGATTCTCAGAAGCTTCTACTCTACTGTTGAATCCCTATAAGTTATTCTTTATTTCAGTTAGTGTATGCTTCATTTTTGACTGGTCCTTTCTTATGTCTTTGACATTCTCACTACGATTCTTGAAACTCTCACTAAGTCTCTTGAAACTCTCATGAAGATCCTTGAGTAACCTTATAACTATGGCTTTGAACTCTGTACCCAGTAGTTTGCTTGGTTCCATTTCTTTCATTTGTGACATGACTCTTTGTATCCACATTTTGGCTGCTTCCCTGTGTTTGTTTCTAAGTATTAGGTAGAGATGCTATGTCTCCTGGAGTTGGTGGAGTGGCCTTGTGGAGTAGGTGTCCTATAGGGCCCAATGGCTCAGCCTCCCCAGTCACCTGAGCTGGGCACACTATGTGCACCCCTGTGTGGGATGTGTGCACAGTCTTGTAGTTGAGCCTTGATTGCTGTTGTCATCTCTGGGAAGAATTGACCTCCAGGCCAGTTGGCTGTGAGGATCAGCTGTGATGACAGTAAGAGAGCTGTTGTAGCCACAGCTGATCCTCTGTGGAGCAGGACTTGCTTCAGTGGGGCTTTGGTGCTCATCGAATCTGCTTCTTAAGTGTATCGCTTGTGGATGTGTAGAATTGTAATCTGCTATGGTCTGAAGCTGTCCACTGGGTGTCCTGACTCTAGGGCCTCCACGGTGGAGCAAAGTCAGCCACTGCCTGGAGTCATCTGGCAGGAGCTATTTGTACTGGCTTGGAGGTACCAGGCAAGGCCCAGCAGGGAAGCAAGTCAGGCTGGTGCTAGTACTGGGTGTTAGGCCTTTTATTGATAGGGTTTGGGGCATGCTGACCCAGCAGCAGCTTGAGAGATCTTGGAAAAGTCTGAAGCCATTCATTTGGAAAACCTGGGGCAAACAGATGGGGAGGGGCTGCAAATTGGGTGGGCGGGGTCTTACGGAATCACCAGGCGGAGCAAACGGTGTGGACCAAGCTGGTATGGCTGCCAGTCAGCTCTGGGACAAGGAAAGTTTCAGCGCAGGAACAATGACCCCTGGGGGCACCCCTGTCTGGGAGAAAGCTGCCCCGGAGTTCCTGCTCTGATGCCAGATAATCCAGTTCCTGCCCATATGTATCTGGGTTCCCCAGAGCCACCCAGCGCTGGAGCTCAGGAGAAAGCACGTCCAAGTAAGTTCATGCGCCAGCCCTTTAAAAGGTACACCTGAGTCTCAGCAGCCTCCGTGTCCCTCAGCCACAATCTCTGCTTGTTTTTACAGCTCCGAGTTATGAGGTCTTCCCTGTCCAGCTCTGGGACCCTGGGCTGGGGGTCTGGTGTGGGGCTGGGACTACGTGTTTCTCTAAGGCTGCCTCCGCCCAGAGGATCTCGTTCCCAATGAAAAAAGCAGCACCTGTGGCTGATGGACCAGATTCAGCGCTTCCACCCCACCTTCCTGTCTCAGTGTGCTTTCTTCTTTATTGTCTAGTTGTAGGACTTCCATGCAGCCAGCTTTCAGGCGGTTCTGCATGATGGTTGCTCTGTAGTTTAGTTTTAATGTGGTTTTGAGTACCTACACTGCCATCTTGATTTCTGCCCCTAATGTTTTCTTCATAGGACATCTTAAAATAAGCGACTGCTAGCCTTTCTTTACATGAAATGTTGTTTAAAATTCTGCATATTTGAATGTGTTTATTGACCCCAAGTTTAAAACATGACGTATATTCCTGTGAAGAATTTCAGATAGTGAAAAAACAATCCACCAATTGTTTAGGAAAAGACTGTGGACTTGAAGCCAGATTTGGTGGCAGTAGTCCATTAGGATGAGTCTATTGGAAGAAGAAATAGGTTTGGAAAGACGGAGGGGATAAATTTTCTTCATCTGGGGCTTATTCATACCAGAAGTCCCCGATGAAGGAGCATGGTGACATGCAGAATTTCTGCAGAGAGATCACTAAGATGCAGGAGTAGCCCGTGGAAATCAAACACTCCAGTTAAGATCCAGCCTTTTAACTTGTTTGTTTCTTTCTTTCTTTCTTTTTTTTTTCTGAATAGAAATCAGCTGTTCTCTCTGAGGGACTGTTGAGTCTGTTACCTAGGAATCCTTAATTATAATTTGCTATTTAAAGCCACAGGGGCTTAAGATCTTTAATGCTCTGGCACCCTTATGAAAATAAAGTATCTTTATTCCCTTCTTCTTTTAGATGGAAGTCAGGTTTATTGTATTTTGCTAAAATAAAATCTCATTGTTTGGAGGCTAGCTTTCTGCCTTGCAGCTTCACACAGGCGATCCTTTGGCACTCTGGAAGCGCAGACATCACCTGAGTCAACGGTCCAGACCTGTGGTCAGCAAACTGCAGCTCGTGAGCCACATGAGGCTCTTTGGCCCCTTGAGTGTGGCTCTTCCAGAAAATACTACGGGCTGGGCAAGTCTATTTTGAAGAAGTGGTGTTAGAAGAAGTTTAAGTTTAAAAAATTTGGCTCTCAAAAGAAATTTCAATCATTGTACTGTTGATATTTGGCTCTGTTGACTAATGAGTTTGCCGACCACTGGTCCAAACAAGATCGGAAACCAGAAGCTGGAAGACAGGCCTTAGACAGGAGGATGGGAGAGGACTTGCCTCTCTCAGGGTTGGCTGTTTTGGCTGTGATTAGTTTAGACCACATGTGTCAAACACAAGGCCCGCGGGCCAAATCCGTCCCGCCAGGCCTTGCAATGTGGCCTGCACCGCGCTGTCATCACTGCACTCCGCTGCGTTTCCATCACAATGACAGTTTATGACTGTTCAGTAAACCATTCGGCCCGCGATTTAGGCTGGATTTTAGATTTTGGCCCCTTCTCTGATTGAGTTCGACACCCCTAGTTTAGACAAATGATGTTCTGATGGATTGGTACTAGTTGTGAAACATGTTTGTTGCAATCATTTTGTCCTTTAAGTCCCCCCCTCCCCCATATGCAAGAATACCTCCAATTTGTTAATGCTATTTGTGGGAATTATTTTTTTTTTTTTATTTGTGGTTTTTTTTTGTAATTTTTTATAAGTTTTTATTGTTCATATTATTACAAATGTTCCGTTTTTTCCCCCCACCATTGCTCTCCTCCACCAGGTTCTGTGGGAATTATTTGGCAGGAGAGAAATGATTTTGGTACAGAAAAAGGAATAAGCAACATCCACTGTATAAGCCACGGGCCATCGGGTCAAGCTAATTTGACTTAGAATCTTGCCAGAGCCAGCAGCAAGAGCACCGCACAACTCTGCTGCTCTGACTGGCCCTGAGTATCTCTGAGTGGCTGTGAGTCCATGTATTCTTCTAAATTCTTCCATTCAACTATGCCAGGTCTGAGCCCTGCCCACTGTACAACTGTTGGGAACTTAGTCCAAGTTCCTCTGTTATCCTCTGCTCACTAGTAACAGGTATTGGGTCGAGCCCCTCTGCCTGGGGCTGGATCTCCTTGGGTGCCAGGTCTTAGAGAAGCCATGAGAGGTTGTGAGTGTATAAGAATGAATCTTTATTGCCAAAGCCAGTGGCCATATAGCCATTAGACAAGAACAGTCCTCACAGCAAAGTCCACACAGGCAGGCAGCCGGACACCAGCTGGTGAACATATATATTTTTCCATAAAGCAGCATCAGTCTCTGTTCCCACAGCTATTATCTGAGAAGCCACACGCTGTCTCCCTACCCGTGGTTGGCAAACTGAGGCTCGCGAGCCACATGCGGCTCTTTGGCCTCTTAAGTGTGGCTCTTCCACAAAATACCACGGCCTGGGGGAGTCTATTTTGAAGAAGTGGCGTTAGAAGAAGTTTAAGTTAAAAAAATTTGTCTCTCAAAAGAAATTTCAATTGTTGTACTGTTGATATTTGGCTCTGTTGACTAATGAGTTTGCTGATCATTGTCCTAGACTCACCGCCTTACATCATAGCAATACCTGAGCTCTTCGGCTCAGCAGCTTCTCCTGTCTCTCCTGCCCAGCTGCTCTCTCTAGCAGACTTCTTTTTCACACTCCGTCCTATGTAGCTACTCTTTCTCCATTCTACGGGTTGGTCAGTAGCCTACTTTCACACCATTTAGACAAAGAGGGCTTTGTGTCGATCGTGACATTAATCATATTTGCTACAGAAGGGGCACAGTGTACTGTGTGTCCTTGTACCTGCTCATGGTATCTTGGCCTGATTTGGATTCACAGGCTCAGAATCCTTGGACATCCCATTTAGGCACAGGCCCAGAGAGGCCTTTGGCCATTCTGGAGTATTGATAACAAGGCCTCTGTGGTCCCATTGGCCTTGACTATCCAGGCACCTGGCATGGTTCCCACAAATCTTAAAAAAAAAAAAAAAAAAAAAAAACTGTGGCAAATTAAATTCAACATTTTGATTTCCCTTGTGAAGAATGTGGGCCAGAGCTTAGGAAAGTGAAAATAACAGGTGTACGTTGACTTTTGGAAAGGGCCATCAGCTCTGTGGTTGCTTTGCTTCAGACTGGACTTTAGTATAATAGGTGTGAGGTGGATGTTTCACATTTTACTAGCTGTCTCAGTTGGGTGAAGAGGGTCTGTGCATTTGCTTGTGTGACTCTAAAACTTGGACCTTGAGGAAAAGTGAGGAGGCAGCATAGAGCAGGGCTTAATATTTTGTAGTTCTCAGCAGGAGAGGTAGTCCCTCAGAGCTGACTGAGTGCATGCCTGGAAATGCCCAGCAATTTAACTGGCCCCTAAGCTCATCCCTTAAATCAGATTATCTGTTCTCTCCCTTTTATTATTCCCAATCTTTAGCAAAGTATGACCAAGTATTCTAGCTTTGTTTCAACTGTGCTAAGTGGAATTAGGGACAAAGTCTGGACTTGTCATGGGCTGAAACATTTAAAAAAGTTTATCTTTTGTTGAAAGTACTATAGATGTCCCTTTTTCTTTGTCCATTGACCCCCTTCCACCTTACTCCTGTCCCATCCCTAAGCCTCCACTCCACTATTGTCTGTCCATGGGTTATGTGCATATGCATATAAGGTCTTTGGTTAATCTCTCCCTATCCTCCAACCCTTTTCCTCTGGGAAGAGTCATTCTGTGCAGTGTATCCATGCCTCTGTTTCTGTTTTATTCACCAGTTTATTTTGGTCATTAGATTTATTATTTCTTTATTTTTTTTAGATTCAATTATTGATAGATATGTATTTATTGCCATTCTATTGTTTAAATATATTTCTTTTTTGTTCTTGTTCTTCTTCCTCTTCTTAAAGAAAACCCTTCAACATTTCATATAATACTGGTTGGGTGGTGATGAACTGCTCTAGCTTTTTCTTGTCTGTGAAGCTTTTTATCTGACCTTCAAGTCTAAATGAGAACTTTGCTGGGTAGTAATCTTGGTTGTAGGTCCTTGCTATTCATCACTTTTGAATAATTCTTGCCACTCCCTTCTGGCTTGCAAAGTTTCTGTTGAGAAATCAGCTGATAGTCATATGGGTGCTCCCTTTAGACAACTTACTGCTTTTCTCTTGCTGCTTTTAAGATTCTCTCTTTGTCTTTAATCCTTGACATTTTAATTATGATGTGGCTTGGTGTAGGCCTCTTTGGGTTCCTCTGGCTTGGGACTCTCTATGCTTTTTTTTTAAAAAAATATATTTTATTGATTTTTCACAGAGAGGAAGAGAGAGGGATAGAGAGTTAGAAACATCGATGAGAGAGAATCATCGATCAGCTGCCTCTTGCACACCCCCTACTGGGGATGTGCCCGCAACCAAGGTACATGCCCTTGACCGGAATCGAACCCGGGACCTTTCAGTTCCCAGGCCGACGCTCTATCCACTGAGCCAAACCGGCCCCGTCTCTCTATGCTTCTTGAACTTGTAAGTCTATTTCTTTCATCAGTAGGGGAAGATAGTGTCTCCTTACACCATCTTTATATTTTTGGATTCTTTTTTTTTTTGCTCTTCTGATTGGGTGTTTTTTGCTTCCTCATATTCCAAATAGTTTATTTGATTCTCAGAATCTTCACTTTAGAATCCCTGTAAATTATTCTTTATTTTAGTTAGTGTATGCTTAATTTCTGACCTGCCATTTTTCATGTCTTTGATCCTTGAAAGTTTTATTAAGTCCCTTGAAGCTCTCATGAAGATCCTTGAATAAGCTATAACCATGGTTTTAAACTCTATACCCAGTAGTTTTCTTGGTTCCATTTCTATCATTTGTTTTTTTTTGTGTGTTTTGTGTGTGTGTGTGTGTGTGTGTGTGTGTACATAGTTTTATTTTATTTATTTATTTTTTTAAATTGAACAAATCTTTATTGCTCAGATTACAGTTGTTTCTCTCCCCCCTACCCCATAGCTTCCTTTCACCCGGTTCCCACCCCACCCTCTGCCCTTACCTTCCCCCACATTGTCCTCATCCATAGGTGTACGATTTTAATCCAGTCTTTTCATGCACCCCCCACACCACTTTCTCCCTGATAATTATCAATCCACTCCCTTTCTTTGCCCATGATTCTATTATATTCACCAGTTTATTCTGTTCCTCAGATTTTTAACTCACTTGATTTTTACATTCACTTATTGATAGATATGTATTTGTTGTTCATAATTTTTACCTTTACTTTTTTCTTCTTCTTCCTCTTCTTAAAAAATACCTTTCAGCATTTCATATACTACTGGTTTGGTGGTGATGAACTCCTTTAGCTTTTTCTTATCTGTGAAGCTCTTTATCTGCTCTTCAATTCTGAATGATAACTCTTCTGGATACAGTAATCTTGTTTGTAGGTTCTTGCTATTCATCACTTTGAATATGTCTTGCCACTCCCATCTGGCCTTCATAGTTTCTGTTGAGAAATCAGCTGATAATAGGATGGGTGCTCCCTTATAGGTGACTAACTGTTTTTCTCTTGCTGCTTGTAAGATTCTCTCTTTATCTTTTGCCCATGGCATTTTAATTATGATATGTCTTGGTGTGGTCCTCTTTGGATTCCTTTTGTTTGGGGTTCCGTGTGTTTTCTGGACTTGTAAATCTATTTCTTTCACCAGGTGGGGGAAGTTTTCTGACATTATTTCTTCAAATAGGTTTTCAGTATCTTGCACTCTCTCTTCTTCTGGCATCCCCATAATCCTGATGTTGGTACACTTGAAGTTGTCCCAGAGGCTCCTTACACTATCTTCAACTTTCTGGATTCTCTTCTTTTCTTGCTTCTCTAGGAGTGTCCTTTGCTTCTTTGTATTCCAAATCTTTGACTTGATTCTTATGTTCCTCTAGTCTGCTGTTGAGTCTCTGTATAATATTTTTTATTTCAGTCAGTGTATGTTTAATTTCTAGTTGGTCCTTTTTCATATCCTCGAGGGTCTCGTTAAATTTATCGGTCTTTTCTCGGAAATTCTTGGAAAACCTTATAACTGTGGTTTTGAACCCTATATCCAGTCTTTTGTTCTCCTCCATTTCTTTTGTTTGAGATCATTTTCCTTGTCTTGGCATTTTCACTGCTTCCCTGAGTTGGTAGGGTGGCTTTGTGTGTTTGGTGTACTACCTGAGGTAGACACACTTGGTGCTTTCCTTTGTGGACTGTGTGTATAGCCTTGATGTAGTTAAGTCTTGATTGTTGTTGGTATTACTGGGAGGAATTGACCTCCAGGCCAATTGGATGTGAATATCAGCTGTGTCTACACCAGGATACCTTCTGTATTGGAGACAGTCTTATAGGATCAGACTTGCAAAATTGCAAAAACCTCTGTGCTCAGCTTGGATGGGGTGGAGTCCTAGGGCTGAGCCGACAGTCTTGGCTTCACATCAGCCCTGCCCTTGTACGCGTGGCTCAGACCTCTGCCTTTCATGGCTCTCCTGAGTTTCCGCCTGATAGTCCAGATTCCCCCTGCAAGAGCATGTGTGCCCTAGGGGCTCGCCCGGAATTGGGTTGGGTCTCTGTATAATATTTTTAATCTCAGTGCAGTCAGGAGCTTCCAATTTCTTCTGCTATGGAGAGGCCGCGGCAACCTCCGCAGTCAGACCTTTCTGTGCGCACTCACTCGTACACGGGGACCTCTAGACTCTGTCCTCTGTGGCTCCTGGATCCCCCGAGTCTCCCAGTCTCTGAGTATCTGGGTGTCTTTCTCTGCAGTCCAGACTCCATCTGTATGAGCCTGGGTTCATGGGGTTTTGGCCAGGGGTGGAGTTCAGTACAGTGGGAAAGGATTTAGTGCAGTCTGGGGCTTTCTTTCCCCTCCCGCCAGCCAGGCACTTGGCTGCCCTTCCTCTTGTGTGTGTCTCCCTACCTCAGCGCTTTGGGGCTCCCCCGATCTGTGAGCCTCTTTCCTTATTTCTAGTTATAGATTTCTCACTCAGCCAGCTTTCCTGTGGTTTTGGATGATGTCTGTTCTGTCTTTTAGTTATTGTTTTGAAATTGTTATGCGAGGTGGCAGCTTAGGCTCTTACGTAGGCCGCCATCTTGATTTCTCCTCCATTTCTATCATTTGTGACATGTCACTTTGTCTCCCCATTTTGGCTGCTTCCCTGTGTTTGTTTCTAAGTATTAGGTAGAGATGCTATGTCTCCTGGAGTTGGTAGAGTGATCTTGTGGAGTAGGTGTCCTGAAGGGCCCAATGGCTCAGCCTCCCCAGTCACCTGAACTGGGCACACTATGTGCACCCCTGTGTAGGATGTGTGCACAGTCTTGTAGTTGAGCCTTGATTGCTGTTGGCATCTCTGGAAGGAATTGACCTCCAGGCCAGTTGGCTGTGAGGATCAGCTCTGTTGACAGTGAGAGAGCTGTTGTAGCCACAGCTGAACCTCTATGGAACAGGACTTGCTTCAATGGGGCTTTGGTGTTCACTGAGTCTGCCTCTTGAGTATGTTGCTTATGGATGTGCAATGGTCTGAAACTGTCGGTGGGGTACATTGGCTCTAGGACCTCTAGGGAGTGGTTCAAAGTCAGCCACTACCTGGGGCCACCCTGTAGGGGCTATTTGTATTGGGCTTGGAGGTACCAGGTGAGGCCTAGCTGTGAAGTAAGAAGGCTGGTGGTAGTGCCAGTTCTTAGGCCTTGTATTTATAGGTTTGGGGCACGTTAAAACCAGCTGCAGCTTTAGATATTTCAGCAAAATCTGAAGCCTGAGCAGGGACAGACCATTCATATAGAAAAGCTTGGTGCTAACAGGGGAGGTGGTTGCAAATTGGATGGGGCAGAGTCTCAGGGGATCACCAGGGTGGAACCAACAGTGTGGGCCATGCTGATGGAAACTCCATTATGACTACCAGTCAGCCCTGGGGAGGGGAGGTCCTAGCATAGGAAAAATGTCCCCCACAATCACCCCTGTCAATCCATTTCTTCCCCTTATGTGTCTGGGTCTCCAAGAGCCACCTGGCACTGGAACTCAGAGGTATGGAGTTGAGTAGGTTCATGTGCCTTACTTTAAAAGGAACACCTGAGTCTCCAGCAGCCCCCGTGACCCCAGTGGTCCCTGTGTCTTTCAGCCAGGTTTCTAGTTTGACCCCCAGTTGGGGCTTGTCTGGGAGGCAACTGGGCAATTCTCTCTCTCTGTCTCTCCCTTCCTCTCTTAAAAATAAGTCAAAAGCTCTTTATCTCTGCCACCGCCCACCCCTTCCCCTGCAATGCAGCCATTATTGGAGTGAATCTGGTTGACGTATAGTGTTACCATCAATATTAACCCCGGTGAGACTGTGTAAATGTTAAAAATTGAGTAACTGTTGAAATGTGGGGCCTGCATTAGGCTTGCAGCCTCGGGCAACACAGTCCCACACTGCCATTTGTGTAAATGGCTCTGCTCAGTCACCAAGCACCAGGGACTGCCACAGGACCTCTCGTGGAGACTGCTATGGACTCACAGGGATGGCCAAGGCCACCTGATCAATAGTCCTGGTTTCCTGAATGGCTGATCCAATTATATGAGAGCTTACCATGAAGCAAAACATACTTCAAAGCAAACGCTTTGCTGGTGAAATTTCACCCCTTCTGTGAAAGAATTCATCTTGATCCTCCAACTGTCAGACCCATGGTGTGTAAATGTCAATATGAAAAAGCATTTATTAACTTGGAAAGAAGAATTTAGAATATTATCTGGAAAATTCAGGTTCCTAAACATGACCATTTTGGTGTGTTCAGATCAGAGTTGGACTATTTTGTGGCCCCAAAGTCCTGTTCATATAGTGACATCTCTCCAAATTTGTGCCTTTCTTGGCATCTTAAGTATCTGATAAAACAAAAATATTCTCTATTTTTAGTATCTTTTGAAACCTCACAATTTTGAAACTGGGGAATTATTTCATATAAATGTGAGGGCCTTTAAAAAAATCTTTTAATACATTTTTTTCTTCTTGGCAAAATCCTAGTTAAAAGCTGGCAAGATGGTAGCAAAATATTTAAAAACATGCAAAAGCACCACTTCTAGCTCTTCTCAGGAGGGCCAGCATCTCAGAGCAAGCCCATTCTAACTATACTCCAGCTCTGAAATCAGAACAAATTGGGTAAAAATAGAAATGAACGATTCTATTCTTTATGAAATCTGAGAAAATGTGTTGGGAGGAAAGAATTTGCTATACCATATATTTTAATATTTATATCTGATGATAAAACCACAACACATTTATAACCATTCTATCAAGCATTTTTACAACAGGGCCGCTGCTCACAGCGGAACACGCAATAAATATGCACAGACACACCGGGTATGAAATATACATCTTGATTTTATAATTGTGTGTGCTTTATTTTTTACACAAATGGAATGGAAGTGTCGAATATTTACACTTAACAGGAGTGTAAGCTGTGCAGTGTCTCCGTAAACTCTAGCTGGGCAAGGAGTCTTTCCCCTCCCTCCCATCCTGCACTACAGTAGCTTGATGGAGGAACATCCTGTCCGAGAAAAGCACAAAACTGTCCTATTGAAAGGCTCTAACGGGTACAGCCTGGTGCACTCACTTAGGAAACACAAATTCAGAAAGGAGAGAAGAAAAGTTTACCATCCCATTGGGAATCAATCTTGCCGGTTGGTTATCTGTCCTCATGAGTTGCTAGGGAGATTCTGAATTCTCTCTTGGAGATGAGCTTTGTCTAAATCGTCCACCTATCTTAGCTTGTCCTCAGCTGCTACAAGAAACTGCACAGCTGTACAAGACATGATTTCCGAAGCACAGTTTTCAGTGAGAAAGGATATTTACAGACTGGAGCAAGTGTGTGGGTTTCCATCCACATTCATTCAGACCCAGTGTAGTAGGTGTATACATGACATACATACCCCATATACCATACGTACACAGAAGTAAAATGTCTAGCCACAGAATTCTCTAGAGTTCTCTGGCTAATCAGTTGTCACAGGAGGTACTCCACATGCTTTAAGGGAAATGTCCCCTTAATTCCCCCTAGAAGAGACAAATTATTATAATAAACTTAGGGACTAGCTTGAGTCTTTGACGTAAATATTTTTTTAGGAATTTAGGCAGGACCAAGATAGGAACAAAGAGATGTTATTTCACCAGCTAGTCCATTCAATCTTACCAGCTGAAAAGCAGAGGGGGTGGGTGGGTGGTGGTGTTTTACATAAAAATGGTGGGGGGTAGCTGTTGAGTGGGGAAAAAAAAAATCTCCAAATCAAGGTGATGGCATGGCTTTAATGAGAAGGAAGAGTTTTGCTGTCAGAATAATTGTTGGGGCCGGAGTCTGCCTTTTTTTGAAAGGAAGTGTCCCTAAAGCCACAGGCGGGTGCTGGGAGTGGGCTTGCTGTGGACCAGCCTTGTGGCAGAGGGGCACCCAGGTGCCGCAGAGCCCAGAGCGCATGCAGCGTCACTGCCAGGGCAGCGGTGCAGGCTGGCTCAGCTGGGCAGGACCTCATGCTGAGTGTTGCTTCTGGGCTGTGTAGGTGAAACGGTGACCCCAAGTATTTGTGTCACTAGTCCAGCTTATGGACTTGCTGTCTGAATCAGCCACGAGCCCTTATAGGACAGAAACATTAAGAAATGGGGTATTGGAGAGGAGATGACCAGAAGTGTGAGGAAAAGAGAAAGAATGGGAAAGGAGCCCAGCTAACGTGGCCCAGTAGTTGAGCAATGACCTATGAACCAGGAGGCCACACTTTGATTCCTGGTCAGGGCACATGCCTGATTGTGGGCTTGTTCCACAGTGCAGGAGGCAGCCAATCCATGATTCTCTCTCATCAGGGATGTTTCTATCTCTCTCCCTCTCTCCCTTCCTCTCTGAAATTAAAAAAAAAAAAAATGGAAAAGGAGGGGAAGAGGAATAAGAAGGGGAAAGAGACAGAATAAAGGAGAGATAGACAAAGAGGGGGGTAATAAAGAGTAGGAGTAAAGAAGGGCTATAGGAAAGTCAACAACTTAGAGAAGGCAGGAAGGAAGGCTAAAAGAAGAGGCACACAAAGAAATCTATGGGGTGAGATGGAAAGAGAAGGGGGAGAGCAGAGGAAGGAGGAGAAAGAACCAGAGGTGAGAGCAGAGGAAGGAGGAGAAAGAACCAGAGGTGAGAGCCAGAGGAGCGAAGAGCTCTTCCCTGGCTTCAAGTCCTGAAGGGCTGGCAGTGGGATCTGAGACAGCTCACAGGCACCCAAGTGCAGCTTCGTAAAGATGGGCTCACTAATCACATGGAGCCGACCCAAGACCTTGGGGCTGGGAGAAAAGGCCTGCAAAGAGGTGGCCGACACATCCCACGGGAGATGAGCAAGAAACAGATGCCCCTGCAATTAGCTGACAAGTGGGGTTTTGAGTTTGGTAAAGCTGAGACCCCCGTGGTGCTACACATTGTACCAGAGCATGAAAAATAGCACCAGTGACACGATCTGGCACTTTTCCGAAAGGGCCCAGCATGGGAAGGTGACATTGCGCCTCCGGCAAGCCTTCAGATTGGAGAGAGCTCCGGACAAAGTTTGCAGTGTTAGCACCAGTCTGGCCCCAGGCTCCAAGTGCATTGGCACCACATGTGATCTGGGTAACTCTCCTGCCGTCTCCACACCAGTTGTCAGGTTTGCTGCAAAATATACCCATCCACTGGAGCCATAGAGACCTCAACGTTGGGAGGCGCAAGACAACACAACAAATGGAGGTGTGAATTCTATAGGAAAAGACCCTCTCACCAGTTTGCTTGGTGATTCTTCAAGCAAATATATATATATGTATATATATTTATATAAATCTACATAAAAAAATCAGTGCAAATGCCAATTCTAGTATGAAGGCATCTACACTAGGAAAATAAAGTTATATTACTACAAAACCAAGGGTTGGTGGTTCAGTTTGATTGTACTCAGCCACAACAATACTTAGTTAAATGAAAAGCACACTGCACAACCCACAGAAACATCTACTCATTAATGACAGTCCTTTAAGTAAATGGTTGCATGCTCAGTTGAGAAACCAAAGGAGTAATCATGGTGGCCTAAAGATAGAGCTGGGACCAGGAATGGCATTCTGGTGGCAGGAAAGGTCTGGGAGCAATATTGATGAAAGGAGACCTCAACCTGAAACTGGCTAATGGCAAATGTGGTCACATCGGTGACATTTTGAGCAGTCTAAGGGGATTTCTAGAAATTTTAACTTTCATCAGAGGGTAAGTACATTGCCAGCCCTTTCATTAGCGAAGGCAGCCTCAAGACTACAGGTAGATGCATGATTTTGCTTTTCTGTTTGTTTTGGTGACTGCAGCCAGGCAGAGAGTGGTAGTGTAAGATGAACACCATCTGTTTTTTTGGAAAGAGACCCTCATTCTAAGCTCCAATGTTCTTTCTGTGAAAAGCCTCACCACAGCTGATGGCTCTGTCTCTTGCTTTCCCACCCCAGCCTGCATGCTGGTTTGCTGCACAGTGTGGCAGAATTCCTGCCAGGTCTGGATGTACCCCAGTAATAAGGCGATGGGGCTGAGTCTGGGCCTGCGTAGAACCCAGAGTTGAGTGGTTATTGAGATCACAGAAAAGTCTCTCTCTAAACACCTTGGGCACAAGCAAAGCTAATGTCACCACCAGCTCTAATGTAGGATATAGGCTTTGGGAGGTTCCTTTCTTTAAAAAAAAAAAATCATTATTATAATTGCTAAAAAATAAATTTGGTCCAGGTGCAGCCCTCAAGAAAGGCAGTTTAATTGGTCAACCTCTCATTAGTTGTGTTTCCTTATTGTTCTATCCCTTTGCCCTGTACATAGAAACAAGTCTGCACTCCTCAACCCCAACCAGATAATTCTCTTCTCTCTCTCTCTTCCTCAAAGAAATAGTGCATCTTGGGACAGATCTATGACTAGCATCTCTGGCTGTTATAAAATCTGTTACTTGTGAAACAGACAAATGAAAGTGTCCTAATTACTCATGATAGGCCAAAATACTACATGACCCTTTAAGAATTGCATGTAAGTAACTAGGAACAAAGTTATTCAGCTATTTGCATGGCAGGCCCAGGTTGTTTATCAAGAGAAAAGCAAAAACTTCCCTTTAGCTTGTTGGTATGAGTCAGTCTCTGAAAGCCATCAGCTTAAAAATGCATTAACCAAATGTCTTCCAAAAATATCCATGAGGACAACTCATTAATGGATGTGCTCCATGAGAGTCTATCACTAATGGGACAGGGAGATCATGGGAGGTAAGTAAGGGAGAAGTCTGAGTCAGATTTAGAAGGAACTCAGATGGTCTTAGTGGATCACTGGCAACAGAAGGGAGAGTGCAACTTCCAGTTCTTGAATTTGATAATCTGCAGGTAGTGCATACAGTTAGTCTTTCCATTAATTAGTCTTTACAAAATATTTCACAAAACTTTTTTAACCTATAGAAATTTGTTTCTATACATTTAATATATTTTTATTGTATAAATTATTCTCATCTTTAGTGCCTTCTTTCACTTTATAAATGGCAAAATAGACAATAAACAATCATGAAGCTAACCCAGGTGGAACCCCCTCTTCCCAGTAGGGTCAGTCCTCCATACATTCGTGAGTTTTATGAAATGCTCATCTTTGCAGGTGCCAGTCAAAGAAACTACATGCACATCCTTCCCTGATATTATGCCGTCTCCAAAGGAACTCCTTTTTTTTTTTCCTTCGTTCTTTTGTTTGCTCCTTAAGAAATCAAAGGATGTGCATATAAAAAGTCAAAGTGGACCAATTACAGATGTGGGTAATGGGAAGGTTGGTGAAGTTCAAGTGCTGGCAACTTTTCTTTAAAGCAAAAAAATACAGAGAGCTCAGCAGCTAAGTCAGCTCTGGACATCTGCTGGGTGAGGAGGCTGCCCAGCTTGGGCACCAAGCCCATCAGAGGTTCATCCCTACGCCTGGCCCCTTGAGCAAACCAAAGCCTTCCTGCGTACCACAGTGTCTTTTCTGTCCCACCCTTTGGCCCCTCTGTTTCCTTCATGGCTTCACACAGTTTGTGTTGTACATTCATCAGAATTCACATTGACTGCAAAACATAAATGCAACAAAAACATAAAAGCCTCCAAGTAGTAATGTTATATATATATTTTGTTCTTCTAAATGCTCTTCTGTTGTTGTCAGAGATGCAGTAGCTAATTTATAACTTTTCCTTTGATGGGATCCAGATGAAAGGCCCAGACTGCTCTTCAATGACAAGCTTGCACTGGTTATATATATCTTCTAAGCTATCTCCTTGGACAATAGCTAGAACGAAAGCAAATGCACCCAGCGTTAGGAATCTATCATCCATCACACAGCGGAAGCTCAAATCAGTGATAGACAAACTTATCAGGAAACTTAGCATGACTTTTCACTAGTAAGAAAAAGCAGAAAATTCACTTAAGCAAGGTCACATCAACGATGAAAAAAAGTGCTTTTTAAGTTATGTTCTGGATCAGCAATAAATGCAACACAATCGTTTTCCTTTCTACATGTATGTCTGTTGTTCTGGACAATGAATCATCCATTTAATTGCATTTTATGAGTATCTATCTACTCTGGGACAGGCCCTGAGGTAGGTATTGATAATTTTTTCACACCGAGAGCTCCCCATTTATTAAGGAAAGCTGGCCATATATGTCTGTACTGCACTTACTTAGACACAGAGGAAATAACAAAAAACTTTAAAAGGAAATCCCATTCATTCTCCAAGTAATCTGGTAACATGAAGTTTTACCCTAGATACTCAAATTAAGATTATCTTATGATAAGTACTTATAAGAAACATAATAAATAGGAGGAAAATAAACAAACTGATCAACTGTATTACTAAAATTCCAAGTCACTTAGATTAGATTTAAGTACATTTTATTGTCTTCTGTGGGGGGAACAAAGCTATCTTGTAGCTACATCTCTAAAACACATCAGTGCTATCTTTATTACAGTAGGGCTTACATTGCTATTGAAACATGGTTTAGGTTTTCAAAAACACTCTTCAGAATATATTGATTATTGTGTTGTATGCCCAAATATAAGCCACTGTCAAATAGACTTTGTTTTGACTTGATGATCCTACCTGGATGCTCTTTTAGGGTGAAATATAACTCCTATCTTTGTTATTATTAGAAATTTTACTTAAGATTACCCGATTCAACATGTTTGCAAACTGCTAAGCCATTGGTGTTTTCTATTCTGAGTAAGATAAACAAGAAAATATCTAACTTTACATAAGGTTTTTCAGGAGGAAAGTTCTTATTTTCTAACTATCATTTGTAAGGCAAATTCCACAAATATTGCTCACTCCTTGGATTTAATCAATGTTTCATGAATATATATATATATATATATATATATATATATATGAGAAAACCCAGTATACTCAAGATTAAAAAAAAAATCGTTATTTATTCCCCAAATTTCATTTCCAAGGTCATATTTAAAAAGAAAAAAATAGTTTTGTTTGACAGGGAATTAATTGAAACATGAAGTATTTCAAGACTCTTGTTCACATGTGTTAATGGGGAGGCCGACCTTCAGGTCACTGAAGCGGAGGCTGGAGGCCCTGAGATTCTGCTCTAGAGTGACTGCTTCGGACAGCCCTCAGAGTTTCCTTTTCCACGTTTTCTAATACCAGGGAGATAGTTTAATGAAGCATCAATGCCTAAACTGTCCTTAATAGCAGGAAGTAGCTCAGTGGCATCTGGCGTCCTTAGTAAGAAAAAGCAGAAAATGCACTTAAGCAATTCCACACCGGGAACCTGGGAGCTGGCTGCAGCTTAATTCAGAGCAGGGGAAATCCAGAGTCGGAAGCAAATGGGCGAAGCAGAGGGAAATTGGGGATTCTCAGAAAGGTTTTAGGGCCCAGATGTACTATTCAAAACCTTCAATATGCCAAATGTTAGGCAATTTATCTCCTTTATCACAGTTCCAGGGGAAATGAGCTTACCTGTATTAGGCTTACCGAGGTTTGTAAGTTATATAAATGTCTGGTCACTATGTTGTACACTTGAAACTAATGTAATATGAAACTAATGTAATATGTAGGTTTATAACTTTTGGTAGGGAAAATTTGTACAATAATTAATAAAAAAAAAAAAGAAATAAACTGTTTCGTATCCTCACAACTGTAAACCTGCTTTTGCCCCATCCTCTATGTCAACTTGTAATTGAAAAAGATTTTAGAAAGAACTTACCTGTAAAATACTCTCCAAATTCTTGTTCTAGCTTAATTGCACGATCATAGGTTTTCTTGGCCTGTTCCTCTGTGAGACGCTTGTTCATCTCCCTGGGAAAATGAGGATTTAGTATTAGAATGCACAGAGACTATTCAAAACCCTTAAAAATGAAAATGTCTGGCAAAAATGAGTCCCGCAGGAGACTTATTGGTAATCTTAGCGGTAGCTTCCTCATCTTCATTTGGGACTCCTCTTTGCTGGAATAATTTTTAGCAACAAAGACTCCTTCTCAGGAACTCCCTCTCTCCACAGGCAATCTCTCGGCCCCACAGTGGGTTGAAGCAAAACCTGTCTCCTTATGATTTCCGGGAACTGGTCTCTGTTCTGCCCTGGGCAGTCCCACCGGGTAGGGCTAAACTTCCTTCCTCCACGACAGGCACAGGGTCTTGAAATCAAGCCCTCCAGTGTGGCTTGAGGTTTCCACTCCTTCAGAATCAACTGTCCTACATCCCTCCTCTGTTCTCTCCTTGGATATGATTTCTGAATCCTAACCTTCCTTGGGCTTTGCTCTAGTCTATCTAGATCTCTTTTACTAGTAAATGTGGGCTGTAGAACTGAACAAGATTTTCCCAGGGTGGTCAGAGGGAGGAGAGAGCTGGCCAGAAGGAAAGGCATATCACAGCATTTTGGACCTCATTACATATGAGAGAACATGACTTAGCTGTTCTCAGGTCCTGACCCCTCAGAAAGCTTTGATTTCTCGACTCCCCCATCCTTCCCAGGAGCTTCTGTTCATCTTTAATGTGCAACAGAAACCATGTGGAGTGGAGAAACACAGAAAGTGCTTCTGAAGAATTATAGGAGAGGTGAAGGCCCCTTGGGCATGTGTATCTTTTCCCCCTCACCTGAGGACATGCTTAGAGAGAGGAAGAGGTGGAGGAGGGGGTAGGGGAAAGAGAGAGAGAGAGAGAGAGAGAGAGAGAGAGAGAGAGAGAGAGAGAGAGATATCAATGCAGTTGCCTTTCATACATGCTCTGACCTGGGGATGTAAGTCACAACCTAGGTTTGTGCCTTGAGCATGAATAGAACCGGCAACCTTTTGGTGCACAGGATGACACTCAACCCACTGAGCCACTCTGGCTGGGTAGGTGTGTGTATCTTTCAGGCTGAAAGGCATTCTGCAGCTCTTGCTGCTCAACTTTTACAAATGGGAGGCATGTCTGTAGCAACCAGCACCCTGAACTTCCTCTGTTTTTATAATCAGATGTAATCTCAAGGAGCTGCTGAAGAAGGCTGAATTAAAGTGAACACAGAGGGGGAATGTAACAATCCATAGTGCTGGTTCCAAAATATTTTAAAATAGACTGCAAGCAAGTACTATCAAATAGTGAGCCAGGATAGAGGCGCTTGTTAAGGAACAATATCTAACGCTCAATTTTGTTCTGATAGAATGGGCTGTAAAGGAATTATGCCTGAGATTCTCTGTCCCTTTCTTTCTGTTGGCCTGCCAACTATTGGTATATCATTAACTGTATATAAGTACTGCTTAATCATTGTAAGTTTATTTAAATCCAAACTAGTCTCAAGGGCAAATTGAGGTGAGAGAAAAATGGACAATAACCTAATGTACTGATCCCTAAGCAGCTTTGTCTTCCCATGTCCTCTAGTATTATTTTTTTGCCTACACATTATTTCATCTTTCCATGTTTTTTAAATAAAAAACACTTTTTTTTAAAGCCTGCCAGTCATTGCTTCTAATCATCATAAGAATACCAGTGTGACTGCACTGGGCTGATAGAAGTGCGGCCAACAGCAGTGGCATTTTAGTTCGTCCATTGGGATGTGTGGACCAGATGGGTGTAGAAAGCATTGCTGCCTTTGCATGCAACTTGGGAAGCCAGAGATCTGAGTCTGGAACATGTGGTCTTAGTCAATCCCTTTTTTTTCAGAGCAAATAACTGAGGCCTGAAGTAATAGAGAGACTTACCTAAGGCTGTACATTTATTTTTTAAAAAATATATTTTATTGATTTTACACGGAGAAGAATTGAGAGGGATAGAGAGTTAGAAATGTCCATGAGAGAGAAACATTGACCAGCTGCCTCCTGCACACCCCCCCCCCCCCCCCCACTGGGGACGTCCTGCAACCAATGTACATGCCCTTGACCGGAATTGAACCCGGGAACCTTCAGTCCCCAGGCCGACGCTCTTCCACTGAGCCAAACCGGCTTCGGCCAAAGGCTGTACATTTAATAAAGAGTAAATCTGATGCAAGAACTCAAAGTTGTTTTTTTAAAAAAAACAATTTTTAAGTCAAACAGACCTTGTATTATACCAAGACTCTTTCAAAAGAGTCTTATTTGAAAAAACAAAACAAAACACAAAACACAAAAAATAAAACAAAACAACAACAACAAAAAAACCCCATAACAAACCGAAGTCAGAATCACTAAATGATTCTGGATATGATGCTGATGGCTGCAATATAAAGAAATGGGAATTTCCTAAATTCCTGCTGTTGAAATAAACTCATCTCGTTCTGAGGGATGGTATCTATGATCCTCCTCCCAAATAGTACAAGCCCTAGAAGCTGTGAGAGGCTGTCACTCTCATGTGCAGACATGCTGGGCTCAATGAAGGGATACATTACACAGAAAGACCATGTTTTGCTCCAGATGTCAAGGAAGCATACAGCCTGGTTCTTCTTTGACTTTCCTGGCCCATGCTAGTCTGCCTTCTTGGAATTCCCTTTGCACTTTTTGTAGCAATGACTAAATTTAGGTTTTTAATTCCCTAGTATATGATTTTTTGTGTGTGTGTCTTTTTGCCTAACCTAGGAGTTCTTCAAGGTAGAGACCATGGCATGTTTATCAGCATATGGCAAGGAGCCTGACTGAACACACTGAAAGAATAAGTGAATGAATGAACGGACAGCTAGACAAGAAACTATAATGATGTCACAGTTAAAGATGGAGTGAACACAGGCAATTATAGGAGCAAAAAGGTAAGAGCACTCTGGGATGGCAAGGTGAAAGGTGCTCATTGCCATGGGGCGGGGCGGGGCAGGGCAGGGACAGAAATCAGAGGGGGCACAGTATAAAAAGAACATCTCTTTCAAATATACTTCCTTGATTTCATGCTTCTCTGGAGAATCAGCTATGTGTGTGCTAATAAGCTCTATGGTTTGATGTGGAAGATGCGCTTGAGAAAATATGTGTGTGATGATGTATCAATGCCTAAATGTGACAGCTGCCTTGCTCTTATTCCGGCTGACTTAGCCTTCACTCCTCCTGGGGCGTGAGCAACTCAGAACAGCTTTACTCCTGACGTAAAACCCTTGGAGAACATTCTGCATTTATGAATGAGGGCACATTGGTTGGACTGTCTCCACTACTGCACTGGAGATCTATGGATGTGGCTGCAGCCACTCTGACAGATTCCCGGTCCTCTTTGAGGGATCCAGCGTTCAGTATGTTTAATTTTCCTTGGTGATAAGTGGCTGTGATAATGCCCTAAGGCAAAACGAAATAAGTCATCTCATAGTTGTGGAAGGAAGTAGACCTCCTACTGAGCACCAGATGGGACTGTCTCCCAATCTCTACGTGGAACCAAATGTGCAACCACTGTTTCTCTCAGGCCTCACTTCCTGGGAGCCATTTATTCCACTGCCTGTTGATGATGTGAAACTTATTTTTCTATTTAATGGAACAGACTTTTAAGATGCTGTTCCTAGGATGTGAGGGCCATTTTTCTATTCTTGTTAATGTTAGCATTGCTCATAAAATTTATGAGGCTTTTTAAAAAGCCTCATAAATTACTTTTATATAATGAAATTTGTGGTTGCTTAATTCATTTTGTGCAATATGCCACACAGTATTCTACATGACGGGAAATTTAATACATGCTATTAGGGATAATATGATCAAGAACCATTATTTTATTGTTAACACAGATTTTTCCATGTGCCAACTATGGGCAAAGCTCTCTATGTTATAATTTAACACATAAATTCACAGGGCTGAACTGCCGGCCATCTCCTTATTTTATTTTTGGACTGATAAAAACTTTGCCCATCTTTTGTTTATGAGAATATAGTCTGCTTTTAAGATATCACTCTGGCAATTTCCTCAGAGACCCACTATATATTTAACTGAATTCTCTTGGGCTGCAATTCCAACTACTGCAACTTGCTTCATTCCTTCATCCTCAGAGAAGATGAAGATGGCTGAGCAGGTAGTTGATGGCCTCTGCAAGCAACTGCGTTAACCTCTGGGGGTAAGTAATTTCTTTGATCTTTTCATGAACACTGTTTTCTTGAACTTTGTGGTACTCTTCTGCAGCCTGTCAAACACCCTGAGGTCTTGAGGCCAAAATAGAGGCATATTTGAACAAAGCTCTTGTGACAGACACCTAGTGTTAACTCTTGTGATCTATTGGAAAAGGCACTGTACTGTTCATATGTTTTATGATGATCAAATAGCTGTATTCTATTTATAATAAGGTAACTTGATGTATTTCATAGCAGTAATAGCAAGTGCTTCCCATATGCCAAAGAACTTTACATTCATGATCTTGTTTACCTTTCTTCTAGCTCTATGAGGTATGTGTTCTTAATGTGCCCAGTTTAGAGGTGAGGAACTCAAGGTCATGAAATTGACCAGTGGCAAAGCAAAGAACTAATTCTGGCCTGATCAATTTTCAAGTCCCTGCTCTTTGCCTCTTTGTTCTGCTAACTTTGTGGCGACTGCAGCCTCATTTTTGTACTGAAGTTACCTATAAAGTAACTTTGTTTAGAAGTCTAAATGGGATATTTCCATCAGACTGTCAAAAGAAATATGTTATTTTGTAGTCAAGTCAGATCAGAAATATCTGCCCAATTTGTTTAGTGACTTTTTTTCCTTTAATATATTTTATTGATTTTACACAGAGAGGAATTGAGAGGGACAGAGAGTTAGAAACGTCAATGAGAGAGAAACATCGACCAGCTGCCTCCTGCACACCCTCTACTGGGATGTGCCCGCAACCAAGGTACATGCCCTTGACCGGAATTGAACCTGGGACCCTTCAGTCCGCAGGCCGACGCTCTATCCACTGAGCCAAACCGGTCCCGGCTGTTTAGTGACTTTTGAAGGAAGATATTTTACAAGTCTTCTGAAAATTAAAAAATATATTTCCCCCTTGTTCATAAATGTGCACAAACATGGAGCTGTTGGCTTAAGTAATAGATATTTTACTGCCAAGCCATTAAGAAACTCCCTATAAAGGATAGTGGTCTATATTCATGAGGTTCTAATTAAGGAATGTAAGAATCCTGTGATACAATCAAGTGAAATGCCAATGAAAAGAGTCTAAAATATTGTCCACTCCTTTGATAAAAATCCACATATTTAAAAAGATTTACCAATGGAACTGCTCTCAGAAGAAAGAAATAATTAGAAGATGATGCTATCTATCATCTGGAAAACCGAACAACCAAATTAAATCAAGCTACCTTCAAAACAATAAAACAATCACACACACACACATACAACACAACTTGTTAAATGAAAATAAAAGTCAAGAAGCATTACTGAAGACATTTTAAGGAATTACATGTCTGTAGTGACTCAAAAACTTCAATACAGCTTTAAAAAAAGGGAATGCTTTTTAAAAAAAATCAATAATGGCATTTCCCTTTTGAAAGCATTTGTGACAGAGCTGTGTCATATGGAACAGGGGGCCAGATGAAGGCCTCCAGTGGCCTCCACTTACATCAGAGGTTCCAGAGACTTGGGCTTAATGAAGATGGCAATGGGATAGAGCTGGGCAACTTGTAACCGCTTGATAGCATTTCCTGACACGTCAAGTATACAGTGTTTGCCCTGGTAGAAAGAGAAGAAAAATATGGAGTTAATCCAGAAAAAAATGATCATAACCCCACATCCACTAAAAGTAATGTAAGTGTGTTAGGGGAAGATAACGGATAATGGATTTCTCAGGGTTGAGAAGGATCACTGCAAAGCACAAGTAAAAGTTGTTACATAGGTGACTGCTGAATGCTTGCCATGACTCATATTTATCACTTCCTTACTAAGTGTCTGCCCTTGGGATAGACATTCCACATGTTATCTTAGTTCACTATTTTCTTTTCTTTTTAATTTATTGGGGTGACGTTGGTTCGCAAACCATACAGGTTTCGAGCATCTAACTCAGTAAATCATCATCTGCACTCTGCATGGTGCACCCATCTCTCCAATAAATATCTGATGCTTTACACAGAGAAGATATGTAGATGTGAGTAACGTGACTGGTTCTATTCTCATAAAGCCCGGAAACCATCTCTGAAGACAACTGTCAAGAAGAAATTCCCACATCTATGAGGTAGGTATTCCACATCTATGAGGTAGGTATTATCAACTGCATTTTACAGAAAAGAAGACTGAGGCTTAGAAATATGAACAAACTTGCCCAAAGTCTCAGTGTTAGGAGGATGGAAACAAATCTTGAGCTCTTACACAGCTGTTGGTTGGGATAAATGGACACCTCATTGTCTCATTCTGCCTGATGGTAAATTTGGAGGAATGGTCATCATGTGAATTTAGAATAATTCCATAAGTATTTGCTGAGCGCTTATATGTGTCCTGACCTTGATATGCCCAGCCTAGCAGAAGACACTCACAATAAGGAGTTACCTTAAATCTTGTATCTTAAATGCTGAGAGGGAGGCTTGCAGAAGGTATGTAAATTTCTTGTTTGTTAATGAATAGAAACTCTATTACATTATAGCACAGCTCATTTAACTTGGCTTCCACTGCAATGAATGCTCAGAGCAAGGAGCTGCTTTATAAAGTATTTCTAGAAAAGTAGATATATTTGCCACACATCAGATTCTACCTCCTGGAGAGAAATGGCCTCATTACTTTGATGCTGGCAGAACTTTACAACAAGAAGAGAAAAAGCACATTATGCAGATAGAAACAGTCTGAAATAGGGAATAACAACTCATCTGTAATATTTAAGTGAAAATGAGCTGAGTCCATGAATACTTGAACTCCTATAATAGGAGAAATGCACTGAGATGGTTCAAGCTTTTACCACAGCAGCAATAGCTTTCGAATTTGCTATCTGTGAAGTGTAGCAGCTACATAAAGTTTCTAAATGATTTATTCACTGGCCAGAACATTTCAAGTTAACAAAGGTTGTATCTTTATGTTCCAAGAGAATAGATGCAATTCTCCAGGAAACTGATTACAAACAGTATGATATAAAAACTAACTTTTGAGAGAGGGAAATAGATGCAGCTGCTCAGTGTATTCTTAGGTAGACATTTAAATCTCTTCATTTTTGTACCAGTACATCAACAGGGAGAAAACAGTATTCAACCCAACAAATATCAGTTAAAAAATAACAAATATAATTGGCTTTTAACTTTTTTCCCCTCCTATGAAATGAATTCTCTGTTCACAGATCTGGATCTCTCAATAGGCAGATCTTAAAGCCACACTCACATGCTTTCCTATCCTATTCTTTTTGGAATGTTCTTTTCTTTCCAGTCACTTAAAATTATTAGGCAATCGCAGCACCTACAGCACCCTTAAGTTAGAATTTTTGCCAGTAGTAGGCTAGGCAGTCAGCTCATCTCTCTCTTGATCCTGTGGCTGTTAAGTTTTCAGGGAGATAAGACATAACTCCTGCTAATAAACAGACTTGAGGATGCTGATCTAAACATCAAGAGTAATGAAGCTTCCTTAATAAGTTCGATGTTGTTTTCTGGGATCAAAGTCAAGGACAGAGGGAATCTTCATAAATTTCAAGCTGTTCAATGCCTTTATGTTATACTCCATCCTCCACCCCCTCAAGTCCATCAGCTTATTTTACTGAGATTAGAGCAAAGATTAATGACCATGCTCCAAAGTGATTCTTTGCTTAGAGGTCTAAATGGAATATTTCATCAAACTTTACAACTGCAATCAGGAAAGAGTAATGACCAAAATATGAGACCCTTCAGCAGAAGAGGTGTATGATGGTTAGTGAACATACCCTTTCTGCTACAAATCTCACAGACTGCACACTGGTTCCATACAAGTTGTCATTGTACTGGCCGGCTTCTATAAACTTGTGCTCTTGGATGTCCTTCTCCATTTGTTCTCTGGAAATGACAAAGTGATAGTCTCTGCCATCCACCTCGTAGTCACGCTTTGGCCTTGTAGTATCTTTATAAAACAAAAAATTAATAACATGAAGATCATACATTGACACCAATAAACTTCTTTACACTTATTTACCCCACTACACACTCAACATAATAGATAAAAATATGTAACATGAAGTAACATGACATAGTTATAGGTACCAGGCCTATGCCTCCTACTGTAAACAACTATAAAACTAGACAAAATACATGGAACAGCTATTTTCAGGCACCAGACAACAGGCAGTGCAGGACTGTGATTCTTGATAAGAGAAATATATAAGGGGAAACTACATCCATTCCACTTTCATTTATTAATGGAGAGCCTACAGGTTATACAGTGGCCCCAGAAAGATCATATTTTGGAAAGTTACTTTACTAGTAGACCCATCTTCACCATCTTTACTGGAAGAAGCTGATTTTTCAGTAAATTATTATCTGTCAGAACAAAAACTTAATATTTTATAAAGAAAAATTATAAAATCCAGGCTCTCAGTGATGTAGCATCACAATAAAATATTATGGGACAAGCAATGAAGCAAGAAAATAAAAAAGGACATACAGTAAGAAATATATTCAGGAATTTAAAAATATATGAAATTAGATCATCACAGTTTAGGTTGGATTGAAAGTTATCAACTTTAATTGTGGTTAGAGGTGGCTAAATTCTTTGGAAGAGGTGAAGGGCATACAATTTTCAATATCAATAAAAAATGTTAATATATTTCAAATATTTGACTTAGCTACTGTATTTCTAGGAATCATTATTAAAAATTGCCAAAACATAAAATTTTATCTTGAAAGATGTTCCATTATACCAGTTTATAAATTATAAATAACTTTAACATTAAATTATAATTCCATAATAGTGAAAAGCAGAGACAAAATACCCATAAGTGAAGATGCTTAATTATGGCATAGTAAAAATTCAAAATATTTATGTAAAGTCTAATAAGGCTAATATGATAAGTGTCCCTCTGACTGTCCAACCGGTTGCTATGACATGCACTGGCCATTTACAAAAGAATAGCACTGTGGACCTGGCGCCCACAAAGCAACACTCAGCTTTACCCAAGTGGGACACAGGCCCCACCACCATCCGGAATGACAGCCCACCAAATCGCAGCCATGTTGCTGAGATCTCATGGCACAAAATGTGGCCCACAGCCCAGCCCAAAAAGGTTGCTGTGGGGGCCAGGTAATGACATCACATAGAAATGCTCAGCTTTCTTTCCCTAGCGACTAGCCTCCTTGGAGTTTCTTCAGCCCAGAAACATGACTTGCTTTATAGCCAGGTGGAAACATTTTACACTTTAACCAAATGTCTATGAAGCATTTTCCTGTGCCTCATCTCATTTGATCCTCACAGAAGTCCTGGAGTAGGTAAATAGGAGACTTAGTAGAATCCTATTTCTTTTCATTAGCTAGAAAATGGAGACTTAGAAAGTTTAGAAACTTGACACAACTAAAAAGAAGTAAGAAACGGTGGACCTTAAAAATGACTTCAGATTTTCTCACTGCACAGTATAGTCAAACACTGCTGCAGTTAAATATTTTTCCCTTTGCTCTCCCTGTGTGATTTTTCTGCTGTGTTGATGATAACTACCTGAAAGAGAAGTTGGGTGCTTCATTGGGCTGGAAACAGTTTAGCTAAATCAGAAAACAGGTCTAATTAAGAAAAGTTTATATATATATATATATATATATATATATATATATACACATACATATACATATATATATATATATATATATATATATATATATAGAGAGAGAGAGAGAGAGAGAGAGAGAGAGAGAGAGATCTTGCTGGTGTCAATTGCTCATGTGTGTTTCCATTTGTCATGTCGATCATGAATTTGGTTGACACTTATAGAGAAAAGGTAAATAGCAATATTAAAATATTTCTTCTAATTTCCTTTCAGTGTGCACAAATTTGTGCACTGGGCATCTAGTTTTAATGTTAAATAAAAAATACTGTATATATCTAATACATATCCAACCACAGGAGAAAATGCTTATATAGAAAGAATGAATAGATGGAAAATATTAACAGTGATGTTATTTCTGGTTACTGTTTGGGATTCTGTATGTTTTTATTTTCTTGTTTAACTCTATTTTTAGCATTTCCAAGTTTTGTACCATGAACATGTGTTTATTATCATTTTATAGTGCTATTAATTATAAAAAAGAGTAAGAGAAGAGTGCGTGAGGTTCAGGAGAAAATGAAAATGATGCTTAAGGATTTTGTGGGTGTGTGTTCTCTTTCAAAATTGGAGGAACAAACTGGAAGTTGCTATAAGTGGTTTGACTTGATCATTTCTATATTGGGTCTTTTTCAGGATAGATTTTATGGCAGGATCTCTCCCCAGAACCCTTGCTGGGAACAGTTTTATGAGATATAATTATCATTCTAGTTTCCTTCTGTTTATGTACTGCACACCTACAATTCCTGCTATTCTTACGCATTCCTGGTGACATGTGTAGTACTGAAATATATGAGAGATACTCAAAGCATACAGTTTTAAAAATGTAGAGTGAGAAAGAAATATTTGTTGGGATCAGTTTTAAAAGCTCCTTTAGTGAATCAACTAAAAGTTTCTGGTGAGTTTGTCTACATACACAGAAAGCTTCTATACATTAATTTGACAGTGAGAAAGAGATGGAAGTGAGTTGAGTATGGAAAGTATGGTGGGTGGAAAGAGGTAGTGCAGAGAGAATTTTATAAGACTACACTCAGAGGGACCAGGACACCTGTTAGTTGTCCATGTGACAAAGTAGTTTAAAGTCTATAATGGCCTGGAGGGGACATTAAAGTTGTATACACCTCTTTGTCTTCTTCCTCCCAACACTTGGGACTATTAACAAACAGGGGAAGGTTATTTTATTTTACTTGTGAACTAATAGATGGCCCTAAGTCATCTTGAGGTGATTTAACATAAGGCTTTGTTTCTGACCTTTCTCATTCTATGGGAATAGATGTTTCAGTGGCATTTCAATCAATCTATGAGAGCATGCCAATGCCTATCAATAATCCTATGCTATTTTAAATGCTATCACAATTACAAGGACATAATCCATCCTGCCTTCTTGGGGAGCACAGTCAGTGTGGAGAATATATCATACTTACTAAATAGAGAACAATACAAAGCAGGATACATGAAAAGCATTAGGCAGATAAAATTAATGGTAGGTAATGTTTTATCATCTCAAAGGGAGTCAAGCCTCCCCCTCCCCCTCAGAGAAAAGAGAAGTGATACTCACGAGGCACACAGGAGCCAAATTTGTCAGGGAATTCAGATATCAAGTCGTCGTTGATCCGATCCTTCATGGGGCCCAGGATAATCACTGGCCGAGTATAGTTTACTGCAGAGGGGAAGAGGCAGAGGCAGATGAGGAGAGAGACATGGAAATTGACTGTAAAATTGCCAAACAATAAGAGCTGCCGAGGGCATTACTGCATTGGATAAATTGCCCATACAGCTCTGCACTGGGAAATTGACGTTTGACATGCAACCTGTTTGTTTGTTGTGGCTACTTTCTGGAATTTATTAACAGGAAAAAAAGCAATTGCAGTGTCTGTCAATGAAAAGAAGCATTTGGAGCGGTTTTGCTTGCAATTAGGCTGTGCCTACACGGTGTCAAAACAACTGCATTTAGTCATCTCAGTGGGAGAAGAAAGATTCCAAAGCAGCTGTTTGGCCATTGTTTGGATAATGACTTTACAAAGTAATTGTTGGTAGTAGCGTCAACTTATATTTTTATAATTTCTCCTCCTCGGCTCAAAATGCCATTTATACTCTGTGGGGTTTTCCCCATTCCCTTGTAGTGTGGGGTTAGAAGGAACTGTGAACTTCATTGGGAACAACTCCTCATCTGATGCTTGCATTTTCTCTACAATCTCACAGCCTTTAGCTTCTGTCTGAATGCTTCCAGGAAAAGCAAAGGCAGGCTCCTGGAGCAGCCCACAACCGAGGACAGCCTGCTAGAAAGCCCTTCTCAATACTGAGTTGTCTTCCGTCTCCTGGGACTTTATCCAGTGCTATAGGTGGGGCTCCATTAAGGACCACTCATCTGGAGGGGCTGCTCCCTCCTCCATGGTCAGCAGTGTGTGTTGGTGATAAGGCAAAAGAGCATGTGGTCTGGGACAGCTGAGCCTTAAGCAGAGTTTATTTTCCTCATTCCATCACTCTTTCCCTCCTATAATGGAGTCCCCTGTTGTGGCCTGGAATTCAGGAATCAGAACATGCAGGGAAACTTACTTTCCTGCCTTGAGACAGGCTCGTAAGAAAGAATGAAGTCTTCTTGCCCTCCTGAGAAGAGAAGAAAGGAAATGTACAGTGGACTAACAACCAGTCATATACGACAGCTACAAGCATCTCTGAAGCACAGGAAACAGGCACAGTTCAGGATTCATTTTCCTTACTATCTCTCTTCCAAATGACTGATTCCAAAACTCCCTTCATCCTCATAGAACTGTTGAGCACTATCACCATGTCAGGATACCAGTGGCCATGCCTCCAGATAATAAATGGAGGCTAGCTGTTCAGGGCAGTGACATCTGAGGCTGCCTTTCCTCTGACACTGAGCAGCGGAGTGCCATGGCCTCTATACCCAGCATTTCTACTTAAAGCAAGATCGTCTAGTTCAAAAACAGGCTGCTTACACTATCAGATTTTCGGGACCTTTTATTTCACCTTCTATTTTGTTTCCCAGAGAAGCACACTATTCAAAAGCAAGTGTCTGCTTGCTTCATTTATGATGCAAAAACGACCTCAGAATATATTACAGGACACTGAGGATTTTACTCTAATGTTAATTCATCAGGAAAATGCTGAGTCAATCAAGAAGGTAAAAAATTAAAGAGTCCCCTAAGTCCTTGATGATAATTGCCGTGACACTCTTGGAAAAAGAATTAAGACAGTGTAGCAAAAGTGTCAGCCCCTCACTGTCATTTGCCACGAGCCTCCTGATTCATGGTGGGTCTCAAATAACCATGGAAAGTAAATTGATTTTAGGCAAATATTTTTCCCCCCAAATAAATATTTTATCCAGTTGATGACCTGGGCATGACTCAGCGGCAAACCCAGAAGGGTCTGCTCTTTTATTTGCTTTAGGCCGGGGTAACTATCTTTTGATGGGAAATAGTTTAGGGATGTTGAAAAGGGCTTCCTATCTGTTCTATAGAGGAGGTAGTTTTTCCTGGAATCAAAAGGCAATGAATCTTACTGCTTTATCTCCCTATTACCCTTCAAACACTGTCCGTCTGTCTGTCAACACCACATGTTCTTCCTTCAAAAGCCATAGCACCAGACCCGGTGAGTTCATTTCATAAAAGGAGTTCATAGCACTGATAGTTGCAGACTGACAACAGATTTGGGGAAATTAAGCAAGTATGTGGATAAAGCTGTGAAATACAGATGTCTTCCCTAGAGATTGGGTAGGTGGAGTGGGGTAGGGGTGTCTTACAGAGTGATAGCCCTGGCCTAAGTCATACTTACTTCCCTCTTAAGCAGGGCCTATTCTCAGAATGGCACTGCTAGGCCAGCCTATTTCCTAAAGGCATGGAGAGTGGGCCTGATGTTCTTTCTAAGTGGCATCTACTCACAGCTTCCCTAGGAGTCTTCAGGGCACATTCCCACATCTGGGCAGGGGTTTGGTATGTGAGGAGTCAGATTCACATTATTTTAAAATTCAGGAAAAATGATTCATTTTAATAAATAAGACTATTGACATTTACAGAGGCAAGGCAAAAAAAAAAAAAAAAAAAAAAAAAAAAAAAAAAAAAAAAAAAAAAAGATTGGTTTCCAGTTATCTAAAGCCTTAGAGGTAGAGGTCATCGGATTTCAAAATACAAGTGTAAAATGTTTGGGGGGAAAGTATAGCTTTGGGAATAGAAAAATGGCAGACTTGGAGCTAATATTAGACTGTTTTTACAGGGAAACTTGGGTGGAATGATTAAAATGTGAAAGAATACTAACTATGGTATGACAAAAGTTTGAAACATCAGGTGATATTTATGTCTAGCCACTAGACTGGGCACTCCATAAAGGCAAGGAGTAGGTTTCATTTACCACTGTGTCCCCAGCCCTTAACATAATGATGTCAATAAATTTGCATTTTGATTTCAGTGGTAGAAAACAGGATGAGTAATGAGGCCAAGGTAGGTTCTACTTTGTGTTTCTATGTGCTTTCCCTTTAGGAAGTGTGGTTTTCTCTCAATGAATGTAACATGTTATATAGGAATCGCTTTCCAGTGGTCTTGAAAATCATTCAAATCAGGTATTTGGTGTCAGTCTGTATAATTTTATTCAGAAAACTAGGTTAAAGCAACATAGCTTTGGTTAATTTTGTTAGGTCTCTAGTTCCTTGTTTATCGATTGCTTTTTGGTTTACTTTCTAACTTATACCAGGCTGATTCTTGTTCAGAACAATAAAACTAGCAGTGGCAACATTCCTATGTCAAGGCCCATCCCAATTCTAATGACCTTCCCACAGTCAGGTGTTATGTAAAGAAGTTTTTAGGGAAGCTATGGTGGTTGGTATCACACAATAGCTGTGTATTCAGCGCCTTAAACCAATTTTCACTTTCATGTTCAAGAATGAAAAGCCCTATGGGTAATGGAAAGAAGACTAAGAGGCAAAGGGGAAAAAAGTCACAGCAATGAAGGAAAGATAATCCATGTGTGTAATCCCAGGCCATAAGGGGCTTTCACAGCCATTTCTTTTGTGATAGGTGCTCTGATGATAACCCATTTATAGATAAAATAGCAGAGGGTAAGATATAAAGGTGCCTGTTTTCTCAGGTAGTAAGTAGTGGAGTCAATATTTAAAATCACATAATTTTTGCCGAGACCGGTTTGGCTCAATGGATGGAGCATCGGCTTGGGGACTGAGGGGTCCCGGGTTCGATTCCGGTTGAGGGCATGTACCTTGGTTGTGGGCATGTCCCCGGTGGGGGGTGTGCAGGAGGCAGCTGATCGATGACTCTCTCTCATCGATGTTTCTGACTATCTCTCCCTTCCTCTCTGTACAAAATCAATAGAATATATTAAAAAAAAAATAAAAAATAAAATCACATCATTTTTGACTCCTTGTTGAGTATATGACACTGTCTCAAAAAGGCAAGAAATATAGAATTCTCTGGGGGCTTGGATATAGGAGCAGACCTTACCAATGAGCAAAGAATGAGTGGCAGAGATAGGCGCCGAACTGGGTCAGAGTCACTGAGAGGTTACTTGTAAACACCACTCATAAACACCAACTCTTTAAAAAAAAAAAAAAGGCTGTTGTGTTTTCTCCATAAAATTGTCATTCGTAGGTAGTTTTTCTATTTTTGTTCTGGAGGTGTTGGCACTTGGGAAGAACAGCCAACAAAAGAGTACCAACTGTTACTTGGTCTTGGTTTTGCAACTGCATGGCTGAGAGTGGGAGAGCAACAGTGCTGTGTGGGGGCATCTGCAGATACAGGAAACAGCCTTTGTAACAATCTCCATGAAACCTGCTTCCAGTGTTTGAACTGGAAGCAGGTCACAATAAGAGGGACTTGGAGTCAGACCTTGATATGCACTTAGGATAGAGAAAAGCAAGTTAATGTTCTTTCGGAATCTTTGGAAACTAGAAAAAAGAGAGGAGGGAAGAGAAGACCAGGGGCAGTACATTTAATATTCTAAGTTTAGTGTTTAGTGCCTCCATTTGATGATTGCTAAGAATAAATTAGGTTCTTAGAATCATAGTACGTTAGTGTTAAGGAAGAGTTTGAAGTTCACGTGGTTCATAGATGGTGAGTATGTAGCACATGATGCCAATCCCCCATCCCATGTCCTTGACTGGCATCACAATGGGCTATTGCCTGAATTACTGCAGAGCCTTAAGTTGGCCTCAATACTTTCAGGACAACTCTTCAGGCAGATATTACCAAATGGTGAGAGTTGTAATCTTGATTAAAATCTACTTGCCATCTCTGTTTGAAACCAAACTACTCATTTTACATAGGAGAGGACTGAGTGATTTCTTCCAGATCACATAGTGAATCTCCATGGGATGTTCAGAAGGATTAAATCAGTTAATGTACTATATAGGGGCTCTACATCAGGCTTAGAACATGGTTAATGCTGTATAAATGATGCTGCTTGTATTAATTTAATAGATTGGATGGTTGAAATGTTCCAGATAAAACATGAAGGATTACAAACTATAAGGGAGAGTGAGAATGTATGTGATTCAGAATTAAATTGCTTTAGTTAGACTTGCAGTGCCACCATGTCAGTGAGGGACATTGCCTCTTGGAGCTTCAGCTTTCTCATCCATAAAATGGAATAGTACTACTAAGATGCATCTCATAGTTTTGTTGTAGAAATTCAATGAGAAAGTAGATATAATGAACAATTGCTTTATGAAGGCTAAAGAACTAGAGAAAATATAAGGGCAATATTTGGGACATGAAGCAAAGGACAAGAATATGGACACTATTTTGACTGATTCCAGTGGAAAAAGTCTTGGGTCTCCTCATCTGCCCCTCAACTTCACTCAGTTCATTTCTTTAAGCTTCTAATTTTAAAAATTCTACTTAGCGGATGAGCACCAATGGGTTATAAGGATAATCATCAGCACCCCATATCCATAATGGCATAAGAGCTTTACTGAGCTTTGAGGAAGGCAGTCTTCAGCTGTAGAGATTGAGAAGTCTCCATTACACCTGCATGGCCTTCACTGCATCCCGATACAAGGGCAATTGAAAATGAAGCTACAAAACAACCACAAACAGCCAGCACTCTACTACTATGTTGACAGACTGAAATCGGAAATTAGTCCATAATTAAGATAGTTCTGAGGTGGCATTTTGCATAATTAGACAATGTGCTCTATAATTATCTGCATTGGGTTGGTGCTCAATATAGTTGGACTTTGAAAAAAAATTATTCTATAATGATTGAGGTGGTGCAACAAAGCTCTGAGTTATTTATTAAAATTTGAGGTATAATGTGTGTGTGTGTGTGTGTGTGTGTGTGTGTGTGTGTGTGTGTGTATGTCTCAGGAATGTATGAGGCTTTAAAGTAAGGTTGTTAAAATCTCTTAACTCCAGTATGCAGTGTGAATTGTGCAGCCTGGGTTTTTGCCTCTAACTGCTGATTTAAAGCCGTTTTGTCCCCAGAGTGAACAGGGAATGATTCTAAGGGTAGAAAATAACACCTGAACATCAGTGGGAAAACGGTCTTTTTAGTATTTGTTTACTTTGCTATTTATGAAACAAGGTGTTCATAACTACAGCAAAAGCCAGGAATTCAATAGAAAGTGCAGCCAATTTTGATTTTCAAATGGCACTTTCTGGAAACTATGTATGTCCCAAGCCTGTGTGTCTTTTTTCATGCCTCTGCCCTACCTGGAAGGTTTCTTCCTAAACTTATCTGGCTGGTAAGCACCTCTTTTTTTCCAAAGCTCAGTTTAAAGCCACTTCCTCTTTGAAACCTCAGTCTTGGGCTAGACTTTTACCCTAGAAACTGACACACTTTGTGCATTTATTTACTGCTCTCTCTCTCCTATTATACGGGTCCTGAGCTCCAGAGTTGGCTGAGATTCATACTGGGTCTCATGGTGCCCATGAAGAGAGAATGACCTGCAGTAGATGCTGAATACATGAATTAATTTTCCTCTGTGATTCCTCATGTTTCCAAACTGGAGAAAGAAAAATCTTTCATTCCTCTAAGCTCTGAAAAAGGCTCTTCTTACTTTTGTTCATTTGTAAAGAAAGCAATCAGAGAGGCTGACCTTCTATAACCTCAGATGAGACCCAACCAATCTAGATTATTGGACTCCATATTTGCTCTAGTAATATCATAGAGTCCAGTTCCAGCTCTTCTCTCTTCTCAGAGATAATTCAAGCTGCTTCCAAATGTTTCCTTTGTTCATTCAGTTAACATTTATGTGCACCTACTATCTGAGAGTGAAAGGAATTATGTGACGCCATCTTGGAGCATTACTGTCAAAACTTGTCATGCGGCTAAAAGCCTTGGCCCAATTTTTAAAAGTCAATGATTCTAGGAAGAACATTCCCAGCTCTGAAAAAGAAAAGAGGGGTCTCTACAATACTCTAAAAAAATTCTTAGAGGAAAAAGCAGTTCTTGTATATACTTTCCATAAAGAGGATTAAAAAAACAAGATGTGATCTCCTTTCTATATACAGGATGCTAGCACAACACCTAAAAATTGGAAACTGAACAGCAAAGAAAGTAGGTCCATGAAATCTGACAAATGATATATTTCCTTATCCTAAATTGAGGGTACCTTAGGTGTCAGAAAGAAAAATCTTTGGTTACTTTTTGGCTTGGATTCTTTGTTTTAAATCAAATGAAGATGTTTCTCTAAGTTGGGACAATTGTAAAATTGTAAGAATAGGAGATTGTAATAAGTTTAAGGACCAAATTGAGGACAATAATTCACTGATTCCTTCATTCATAAGACTTGTCACTTTGTTGAGGAAGAAAATTGGGTGGTTCTAAAATTTGTCGGATCAATGGTATCTCATCACAATATGTTTTTTTTTTTTTTTTTTAATTTTATCCTGTGGTGTGTTTTGTCTCCCTCCTCTTGCCTTGACCCCATCTGTCACCTTTCTTCTTTTGTGCTTTTTTCTATCTGGTTCTCCAAAGCCTTTCTCAAAATCCAAATTAAATTTGTCATATTCCAAGAACACTGTGTGACAGTCTATCTAAAAAAGGCATAATTCTGTAAGGTATCATACTCTAGAATAGATTTTGTTGGGTCAGTTCTGTTTTTTTTAATCACTAGTTTTCAATTAATACACTATTCAAGGAGAAAAAGCCCAACCAATTTCTGTCTTGTAGCTGTGGGTCATACGTATTTTCTAATATCCTCACCAACTGCTTTCTGAGTAACCCACTTCAGTAAGGAGTACCAAGAAATATTGCAGAAATTGTAAAAAGCCCAGTTAAGATTAGTATGCATCTATGTTAGTCACCAAAAACCAGTAAGTAGGTGGTAAGAAACCACAAGAACGAATCAAAAGGATGTGCTTGGTGTTTGGTGAATTTTTTTTTATACACTAAGCAAATGGCTTGAGGTAACCAAACAAAGACCAGAAATAACTTTTAAGTAGTTACCTACCTTTTCAGTTAAGCTTTCTGATCCAAGATTTGTTCACTTAAAGAAAAATGTGAGTTCCTTCAACATTAAAGGATGAAACTTTTTCATCACTTCCCAACCATCAAATACATAATCTTAGATGTATTTTAATATCTACCTTAAAATTGTAATCAAGGAGAGAAGAGATATAAAAGGTTCATGCTCAATTTAAAAGGAACACTGTAATTTAGAAAGATTTCACTTGTAAAGGGGACCAGGAACAGAAAGGAGGACAATAAAACCATGACTTCCAGCCCTCATACAGGGAGTTTAAATTATTTGGGGATGGGGTGGGGTGGGGCAGAATGTCAAAATCCACCAGGTTGAATTCCCCCCTCCCCCCCTTCTCTGGGAGAATTGCTTCACAGGCCAGTCCACTGGGGTTGGAACTGCTTGCATTAATCACACGAGTCCACCGGGGACCCTAGTGTCTTTTGTATCTTTTCACATCAAAGGATGATCTCATTTCAAGCCATTTGCTTTGGGTGAAGATGAAAACAGCAGCAGCAAACATCTGAAATGACCACCACAGGCAACGGGGGCAATTGCAAAGGAAAAAAAGCCACAAACCAAAGCAATAACTTACGGTAGCTACTTTCGCTATCGCTGGCATTAGAGGAAGCATGTTCTGCAAGAACAGCACAGCAAATTAAAGAGATACCAAGCATTGGCGAGCAGCCAGAACTTAAAGGCACACACTCATGCACGGCGACTAGAAATGGGAGCAAAAGGCAAGTAGAAGGCCGCAGAGGAGACAGCATTAAGGAAACGAAGATAAGATTAAAAAAGATGAAAACTTTATCTCCATTTTATAGAAAACTACTATTTGATTGCTATTTTTTTTTTTAAGGAAAGTATCTTTAATTACAACAAAAATGTATAATGTCAAGCAAAGCACTTTCACTTTTATAAATACTTTGACCCATTCCTATAGGTCTGATTTTCCAGATTTGTGTTATTGGGTGTCTCAGCTGGATGTCTCTCGACTAAATTCAGGGGTTTCTAAACTGGCAGTTTTCTGCAGGCTTTTGGTTCTCGATTTTAGCCTCTAGGTATTTTGTAGGAATATTGCATTTCAAATTGCCAATTGATCCCTGGAGTCCTTTGAATTTTATTTCTGTTTACATACTTTCCTAAATAAATTCTCAGGTTGAAAAGGGATTGTAGGAAATCTTCTCTGCTTCAGAGAGTGAATAGAAAATCTGGGAGGAAGAAATGAGTCACTGAAAAATGATTCATGAATTAGTTACTAGTTTCTGGAAGGATGAAACTGGCAGGAGTTCAGTGAGCTGATACCAAGCAGGTCCAGCAATGTTTCAAATTCATGTTGAATGACTTGCTTATACAGTGATATTTAATTTAAAAATTTTTTACCTCACATAACAGGGATGCTAAAGCCAGAATTAGAGCTTTTATTTCCAAAATCATACCCTTCATTTGTACTGTGTATTAAATTATAGAAGATAAATTCATCAGCTTATTGACTGCTTTGCATATCAGTTAAATGAAGAATATGTGACTATTTGATTTCTGAAGCTTATTAATAATAACTTTAGCTTTTTTAAAAATAACTTTAGCTTTTTAAGTAGTGATAACTATTAGACATTTTTAGAAAAAGGAGAATACATAACTAATCTATATCAAATACTTTTAAGCACATTTTTACCATTAGAGAATAATGTTATGGAAAAGAATACATAACATTATTCTCTAATGGTAAATATGTGCTTAAAAGTATTTGATATAGATTCTTGTCAATTGAATGGATTCGTTTTATTTAGCTTTCCAAGGTATAAATGACAAATAAAATTGTAATACCTTTAAAGTACATAATGAATTATACATATATAAATACCATGAGATGATTCCTCTGAGTTATTTAGCACATCCAGGATGGATTAGTTTGAGCATGAAGTGAATAAAAAATTGAAGTATAGGTTAAAGTCACGTGAATCATTTCTTTCTATTGATGTATGACCAGCACTGTATCAGTAATTTAGGCAGCGCAGAGGGCACTAGGGAAAGCAGTGTGGACAGATCAGTTTCTTTTACTGAAAAAAGCCAGGGCATACACCCAACAATGGCTTATCTTAATGTACATGATTATTTTAAGTACTTTGAATTGGGAAAAAGTCTTTTTTTTTTTTTTTTTTTTTTTTTTTTTTTTTACTAAGCTCATTTATCTCCTGCCTATTTTATTCTTTTTGTTTACCTGCTTTTTACTTCTAAAATAAGTTAGAATGAAACTACACTATCTATTGAGAAATTTAGGACCATGCAGTGTTTTAATAATCTCAGCATCGAGACACTGTATAACAGGATTTTTGTAGGTAAAAGGAAATGAAAAATGTGTTCCAGCTAAAGTCCAAATTATGGCTAACAAAAGCATTAATTGGCAAACAATGCTACTGAAATCTGTTCAGTCTTTTAGAGTAAGAAAACATTTGCACATTCTAGATTTAAAAGGGCATTCCTCATATTTTTGACACTGTAGCAACTACTAATTAGTGATGTTCATTTATTAGCAATACATTGAAATGTCTTCCTCCCCTTGCCCCCCCACAATGGAAAATTTAGAAACTCTCTCCGGTGGTACTTGATGCTATCCAGATAATGTTAAAATTAATATTTGAATTTCAGCTATTAATTCAAGAAAAGTTTCATGACCTGTTCCCTATAGAGATTCAAAGATAAAGTTTTCATCTTTAAGGAGATCAGTAGTTTATTCTTGATCAGGTTTTGTTTTCTATATGTGTAACTAAAAAAGAAAAAGAATCCAAAGTAACAATTTGAAGGATGAAGGGTATTATTAGGCAGGGTTATAGAAACAGCTCTTGAAAACAAAGTTCAGCTCAATGCTATTTTGTTTTATACAAATGAAATGATCAGCTTCTAAAAATATTGCTTATAGCTATTAAATTAAAACAAAAACGAACAAAAATTAAACATGTGATATAGTTGCAAAAGACACAAAACTCTGTTCTTATTTCACTGGTGCCTACACAATGAGGTTAGTACAAAAGAAAGAAAAATCATAGCATACTGTATTAATATACAAGATTATTTGTTATTGCTCAGTGCAGTGAGACACAGATAAAGGCATTAATAACAAAATGATTTATAGGTTTAATATATTTAGTTTTCCACTATAAAATGAAGACCTTCTATGTAACACAGCTAATACGTCACTGATAGAACAACATATTAACACATATCTAAAACTTTTATCATACAAACATTTCAAGCAGGACCACTGAAAGTCAGAAAAAGAAGCAACGTTAATAACAAAGAATTAGTCATGGAAGATCAAATAGCTTAATATATACATTTTGAGAATGCATGTTCCTTTGGACTATAAAATAGCTCCTTTACCAATAACCAAGTACAATCCAATTATCAAATTTGGCAAGGCCTAGGTGAAAAGGCAGAAGGGGACATACAGTACATTTCTGCCTTCTTGTTCTAGAACATTTAGCTTGCCCTTTCCCTCAACATGGCTCCTTGCTCTCTGGGAGGAATTAGCCTGCAGAGCAAGGGATGCCATAGTTGGCAGCAGGACCATGTTGGTCATATCACACGGTCAGAAAGGGAAGGTGTGAATCGCAACAGGAGTTACAGTGCCTGACACACTTGGCTTTTCAATGCTGACATGCAGAACAGAACGGTTGGAAGTTACTTCGTAGGAGCATTCACAGCTACGTAACAAATAAAACTCGTTTCTTGTGCATGCTAGGAGTGGAAGGCCCTCAAGTAAAGGAACAAAAGCCAAACTCAAAAGGAAGGGGCAAGAAAAGGAAAGTTACAGTGACCATTCCTGGGAACTTACTCAGAGTCTTTGTTCCATAACCGTCGTCACCTAATCCGGGGATGTCCTGCATGGAAGTCCCCAGAGAGAGCAATGAGAGAGGAAGAACAGCCACGGAAGAGGAAGGAAGAAGTCAGTGGAGTTGAAATGGATACTACCATGACAGACCGCGTTGCCTAAGCAATCTGGATCCCAATCTCTCTCATTTGGAAACAGCTTTCGCCCCAAACTCCCTGGGCTGAGATGCAAGAATTTGTAAAACTCAAAAGGTTTAAGCAGATGATTGTTACAAAAAATAGATTCAGTGGATGACATTTTTGCCCATTGTCCACATTGCCCCAAAAATACACCACTGAGAGCAATGATTCACTCCACCTTTCATGACCAATTCTTAAATTTCATCCTCACCAATACAAGCTCACTGCTCAGAAGGAGTTTAGTATTCATTAACAGTGAAAGAGTGAACAAATGCTTGTTATCAATATAGGGAATTTAATCCCTTTCAATTAGCTAGCATCCCAAAAAATGCATGTGGCAATAGGATCCAATATTTCTGTCCAGAATAGAATTCATCTCCAGCCCTAGAGAGTTGCATGATAGAAAAGGCAAACCAGACCCAGTCCTGAGCACAGATAAGTGCTCTCTGGAAGCGAAGTCTCAGCTTCCTGAAGTCCCTCTCCAATGCCTCCTGCAAAGAAAAGCCACCCCAAGGGAAGGATCCAGACTGCAGCCAAACACTGGTCACAGTAGTAAGCCCTGACCTGCCTGCCTGCCGTGTTTGTTTGCCTAGGCGTGTGGCGTGGGGGAGCCTACATCATGCGTGTTGCCGGTGAAGGATTTTTTCTCTCGTGTTGCAGGTGACATTCTCTTTGAGAATCTACTTACGTTCAGGATCACTGGTTTCCTGCTCACTCTGCTCCTTGTTCTTGTAGAATGGGAATTTTCGTGAAAAGATGAAGCTCTTTTTACGCTTGTCATTGAATGACTGTGAAGGAGAAAAGGCATGGGGCAAAAACAGGGGACGTCTAATTGTTGTCACACTCATGCTGACAAAACAACTAGTTTGTAAAAGCAGAGAGAGCTGTAGTGACGCAAGTGGATAGTCTAAGGGGGTGCCAGCGGGTCCCTGAAGGCAGATTTTACTTTCAAGGAGTGTAAATTCTGAGTGATGACACATTGAAAAAGTTGTGTCCTAATTAAAAAACTGGTTATAGCTAAATGATTATAGACTATTGAATTGGCAGCAGAAGACCTAGAGTCTCTGTCCAGCTCTATAACTTGGCAATCCATCACCTTAGACTGAATCTCTTTGAACCTCAGTATCTTCTTCATCAACATAATGCGGATGAGAGAAGCTCTTAAGTTGTGAGATTCATGTAAGGCAATGGAAATGCAAACTGCTATACAAATGTTATCTTTATCATTATTATCATTGGTAGAAAAGATTTTATTAGGACACTAGAGACATAGCTGTCTAGATGTCTTTTTAAATAACTTGAATTTGAATTACTTTAACTTAGATTTAATTAAAACCACACAGAAAAGTATATAGATTTATGACATATAATAATCATAGCTGTTTTGCACACAGGTAAATAATTACAGTATAACGTTTTCACTCATAAGTGATTTTAAAGATAATTAAGCCCAAGCCTTCACTGTAGACAGGAGGGCCAGAGGCACAGAGAGGTTGAGTCTCTTGCCAATATCACAGAGTTAGCTGGTGATGCAGTCAACCCAAATTTGTTAAAATTGTTGCTAAAGTTATCAACTTGATATTCACTCAAGCAAGGGAGCTATCACAGCTACTTATCTATATTCTGATATGATAAAAAAATCATTGAAGAAAGGCTGTCCTTCAAAATGTAAGCCACTCTAGTAGCTTAAATGAGGTTGGATTAAAAATAATAATTTATACCTGTACTAGAACTTATTTATTCAGGTGACTATCTTGCTTGCCTAGAAGACTCCTTGAAGATTTTTCATTTATTCCCATCGTTGCTATTATGTAAATGCTTTCTGGGGTTCTTCTTTGGGAAATGGGATCACAGTCATTTTATAAGCTATAATCCATACAAGCAAACTTCTTAGTAAGTTCACTGATTTATAAAAATATGTTTTGCCAGCTTGACTGCCATTCTTACTTGACTGATGTGGCTCTGAGGGTCACTCTCCAAGGAACATGACATATTACCATATAGATATTGCAGGGAATGTAATAGACTCTGAGGGTAATTCAACAAGGAGTGTTCTATATCAGTCTTCTCAATGGCAGCTGGCGGGAATAAACCTACGTAGAGCCAGCAAGGCGACTGCCTGGAAGAAAAGCACTTGTTTATATGCATGTATTTGGGTCCATTGGTATGAGTCAATTTGGGTCTCTACAGATTTGGAGCTTGAGAAAATGGTGTAAATAACTTCTTTTCCTTGTATATTCATGCATTTCTACATTAACATCCATTTTGGTTGTCATGTTCATTTAGGAATCCTGAAAGTACTAAAATGTTGGTGCTGTCAGTGAGTCATTCATTACTTTTTCAGTTACTAGAAACTTTCACTAAAGTCGGAGGAACTTAATTTTATGTATCATTAAGAAGGCTTGAAGAAAAACATTAAATTAAATATTTAGTAATTTTTGAAATTAAGGGACATATTTTATACTCAATATTTTAGAACTAGAAACATTCTCAGGGGACAAAAAGAAGTATCACTTCAGAATTTATTACTCTGCTGACAGCACTTAGGTTCAATATGGTTTTATCTTAATTTGTAATTGAGAATTGGTGTCTAAAGACAAGGCTGGGAACTACCTCACCCGCCCCCCAATTTTTTCAGCTAAAAAATGGCAAGTTCTTAAAGGAACATTAAATATTCTTGCATCACTCCAGTTTCATGCCACTTTTACATTTCAAGCATATTTAAACTTCAGTGACTGAAAATAAAAGAAAAAAAATATCATGTAAGAATTAATGACACGTGACATTGCAAGATATGTTAGACATTTAACTTCAACATTATGGATGACTTGTCATGCAAAAAAAAAAAATTACAAATTTTCATGCAAATACAAAACAATGCCAAGACGAGTAAAGCCTGGGGTTAAAATGTAGACACAGATGGACAATGAAGGAAGCCTTGAGAGACAATATGGGGCCACGTGCAAACCACATCACTTAAAGTATCTCACGGGGTCAAAGGAAAATGAACATGTGCTGCCTGTGATTAATTCTTTTATCTTTTCAAAGCAGGGGCTGTAATGTGTTAACATTTCCCAAGTATCAAAATGTTGTGTATCATGAGTCATCTGATTGGGACGTAATATTTAACACCACACTTGTAAAAGAACAGAGAATACATAACAATTCCTCAAAAATAAAATCATCTATCATAATCTTATTACCCAAAGCCATTTTGTGTTGGAGTTAAAGAAATGGAATCTTTGGTGGTTACATTTATGGACACAAAATCAAATCACAACTTTAGTTCACACAGGTTTAAGAGCCATACATTTAGGGTCTTATTTCAACATTTCAACTGTAAGAGGTTATATGTGGTTTATGATGTTCTACTACTATTTTTTATTAGACATGTTCAATGCCATTATATAAGCTTTTTGTTGCTGTTAGATTTTCTTTAAATTTAGAAAAGGAAAATCTTTTATACCAGTGTTAGGTGAGAATAATAAATTACACTTTTACTAGTTACAGAACATATAGCTCTAAAGCAATTTAAGGCTGGTTTACAGCACTGTCAGTCATACCTGATCAAGGTAAATTTTTTCTTTCTACATTACAGTATCTTAAATCTCCATCCATTACTTTCATGGCAGAAAACTTTTTTGAATAGAGATTTTAAAAATACCAAACACATGTGGCAAATTGGCATATCTAAGAATTCCATTTTGGAATTTGAGCTGAACTATTGAGTTCTTATGAACAAAAGTGATAAAACAACAGCAGCTAGTGTTTATTGAGCAACTGTTATGTGCCAGCGTTGGTTGTAAAGCTCTACATGTGCTAACCTCCACACTAACTTTACGAGGTTGGTACCATCATTATTCTCATATTACAAGAGGAAACTGAAGTTTATAAATCTTCTGTTACTTGCCCAGAGTCACACAATGAGCAGTGAAGTCAGGATCTGAATTTGCCAATATTTGTTGTTCTTATGAGAAAAATGAGGTTCTGTAACTGGAGCCTGTTTCAAGTTTATATTTAATATCATTTGTCTTTATATTTAAAAGCTTTTGTCTTTCATAAGTGATAACATAATCTGTCATCATTCCCACAGCTTCCTTGCTTGGCAATTTAAAAAAAAAAAAAATCCATTGGATGCTATTGCTTCAATAATATCTTTGTGGTTTACCTGCTACAATTTTTGAATACCCATTTATGTTTTTCAGAGCGCTATCCTTTGTACTCATTCTTATGATAATATATAAAAAAACTATTTCAATGGGATAAGCTATGAACAGGATTGAAGGTAGGGAATTATGAGAGTGGGAAGTGACAACTAGTGGTTAGGGTGTTTACTTTAGGGGAGATAAAATGTTTTAAAACTAGATTGTAATGATAGGTGCAAAACCCTATGCATATACTAAAAACAATGAGTTGTGTACTTTAAGTGGGTTAATTGTACACTGTTTGAATTATGTCTCAATAAAGCTATTAAAAGAATCCCCAAACAAAATGGAACCCCTCTGCCAAACTCTACACCATGGGATGAGAGGAAACACAGCATGTTTTCAATTTTATTTGGTGTAAATATTTTTTTATCTTTAATTGAATGAGAGGAACCCCCTCCCCCAACTCTTGCAATCAATCCGATACACATGTCTTGTTTATCTGATTCTGTTGTGTCTCCGTGAAATGAATACCTTTCATGTTGTGACAGACATGAGAACACCTGTACCAGGACTCGGCATATTACATCACTGTCACTCAAGAAGAAATTTCTGAATTGTTAAGTCAATGGCATAAAATTGCCCAGCCTGACCCCAAGATATAATGGCTCACAAACTGGCTTAAGATAAAATACACACTCACAAACAACAAAAGGAAACAAAACCAAAAACTTCAAATTGATACTTTTCCCACTCAAATCCCATTTCTTAAAGACTTGTGAGTGAATTGACATACTTTAATCCTTCCCATCCAGAAAACTTTCTAACTCTGGGTATGTTTCAGTTTTCTTCTACCTTAACCGAGAGATCCAATTTAGCATCACCAAACAGTGGAAAAACTTCACACCATGTGCCTCCTGATGGGAAGTACCGAGAACACACACAATATAATTTATATAGTATTCCTACCAAAGATGCATGAGTTGCATCTAACTATGGAGAAATAATCAGGCAAATTAAAATTAAGAAACCACTCTCAAGATATCACAATGTCATAAGAAATATAAAAAGCTAAAGAACCATTCTAGATTAAAGGGGGTTAAGGACATAGGACAAATGGAATGCGATGTGTGGTTCTGGATTGAATTCTGTTACAGTGGAAAACTACTCAGCAATAACAAGAACTGAATTACTGATACACACAACAACATGGATGAATTTGAAAAGCATTATACTAAGAGATAGAAGGCATACACAAAAGCACATTTATGTACGATTCCAATTATAAGAAGGTCTGGAAGAGACAAAACTAAGCTATGGTGGTAGAAATCAAATCGGTGATTGAGGAGTTGAGAACTAAGTCATCCTTCAATGACACCTCCAAAAAACATTCTAGCTTACCGTTTTCTCCTAAATGTTATCTTCCATATCTCTATTTGGGGGGTGGCAGTTATAGAAACCTTTTCCCCTTTGTCCATCTTTTTATTTTTAAAATATATTTTATTGATTTTAGAGAGGAAGGGAGAGATAGAAACATCAATGAGAGAGAATCATTGATCAGCTGCCTCTTGCACGCCCCTACTGGGGATTGAGCCCACAACCCAAGCATGTGCCCTTGGCCAGAATTGAACCTGGGACCTTTC